TCAATGTCAGGTTCAGAAAGTGTAAGGCATGAGAAGAGGGTCACTGTAAGCTTGCTGTTAAACAAAAACTCTTTGCTGAGAGGTGGATGACTGCGGGAGCGTTGGAGTGGGCTGTGGAGGTGTAGGACCCTCGCTCATGTTCTGCAGGGCTTTGGCTGTGGAGGAAATAAATAGCATCACTGCCACTAACACTGTAGTTATTCATGCGTACTGTGGAGGCTGAAGACTAATAGTTTCGTCCTAATCTGTTTTGGGATAGCTTACTATCTACGTTTTTGTTAAAATCGAATACTTGGTGAGGGTAGGTTATACCAACACCCAACTTCTGTGGGGTTTTCTGAATCGCCGTATGTTTATTATGTATGTAGATGGTAAAAGCATTAGGCATCAAAAGCACTCAGCTGGCTTTATTTTTGTGTGCTTGTATGCAAACTGTAGTTGTAATCGTTCCTGACGGTGTGTAAAAATGCAGGACTGTAGGTACTAACCTGTCATCATGGCGTTTTTTTGTTTTACTATAATCTTCTTGATAAGAAAGGGTTGCTTTTATATTGCCAACATTAGGAATTGGCCCATGTCTCCCCTGCACAACATGTCTGTTCTAGTCATCTGATTGCCATAGCCTAAAATATGTGCTTTGCTAAGCAACGTGAGTTGAGAGGTGAAGTTTGGGCTATAAACTTGAAGCAATTTGCACCATCAGAGACAGCTGTGCATAAATGACTAGGCTGAAAGTGGAAAGAGGAAAAAATTTGGCTTAACACAGCAAGGTAGACATTTGAAAGGTCAAGAAAGTTACATCTGTTCATCTAGGGTTATGTTTGTTTCTTTTAAAACAAGGCTGCAAAACTTTAAAGGTGATCATGTGATTGCTTTTTAAGGGGGCATCTTGGCTTGCTGAACTGCTTAAGCATCCACAGCCTTAAGATTTTTCCCGTGAGTTAATACAGACATTGGTATAGTAATATGTTTAGAGTTTGAGCTTTTCTCTTAATAAACAGTTACTTCAGATGATTTCAGTAATACGGAATGCCACTTCAGTGTGTAGGCTTCCAGAACTGTGTATTGTGTTTCTGAGCGCTTCTTACATCCTGTCCATATATGCTGTGTCACTGGATTTTTTTTTTCTAATTACTTTAAATATACTGCAAGTGTTTCAAATGCACGTATATAGTTTCTGAAAGACTCACTATATCATAATATGTGTGATAAATCAGTACTGCAATTTAACACTGTAGCTAATTACTCTGTCTTCCACTATAGGTTGCACAGAGCATTGAGGATCATCATCAAGAAGTAATTGCTTTCTGCAGAGAAAAAGGTTTCCATGGTTTGGTTGCATATGACTCCGATTATGCATTGTGCAACATCCCTTACTATTTCAGTGCCCATGCCCTAAAACTGAGCCGTAATGGGAAAAGTCTCACAACAAGCCAATACCTAATGCATGAAGTTGCCAAGCAACTGGACCTGAATCCAAATCGCTTTCCTATTTTTGCTGCTCTTTTAGGTAAGTGAAGTAATAAAAGAACTCGATGCTGCTAGTCAGACTTATGATTTCAGTTTCTATTACCTGTCTTAAAATATGTGTGTATAATTTGACAAAGCACCTAGGGAAAGACATCCCTTTGTTTCAGACATTCCTACTATACTTGAGGTGGGCTGGATGCGTTTTTATGAGGCCAGACATGCCGAATTTGTAGAGACCTGCGAGCGATGCAAATTGTGGCTGTCTAGAAACAAGAGTAGAAAGTAAAAATTCTGCAAAGCTCTGCCTAGCCAAAATGTTCTTGGGGGGGGGGGGCAGGGATTGGGGATTGGGACAATTGTGGTTCTACTAGTTTTGGTCTTGTATAGTATATGAGGTCTACTTTTAATAATATGCCTTCCAGACTGTTTTGTATTTTACCTAAAAATAACATATATGGAGTGAAGATGTTTGGATTGCAGGGGCTTTTTTTCCCTCAGAAATGAATATTGGACAAATACGACAGCATGTCAGTTGCACCAGAAATAAATTATACTATTTTTATATATTTATATACTAAATTATACAGAAATGTGAAACTCCATATTTCTGAAAGCACAGGTGACCAGCATCCTACTATTCCATTAGTTTTGTTTGGATAGTTTCTTAGCACTCCTGCCTCTAATGCTAAATGGTGTAGTATCTTTAAGGAGCACAGATAGGAAGGACTTCAGTTTCACATCTCTGCTTAAATGGGACAATTTTAACACACATTATTACCACAGCAGTGGTAGAGAATAGCTGTCATACTCTCTCAGATGGAAGAGTGAATTAATTACTAATAAAGTTGACTCCAGTGAGTAAGGTCTATTTAGAACAGCATTCTAACTTCTTTTTGGGTAAATAAGCACGGAGTAGCCATGTTCTTGATCTTGTCGTACTGAGCAAACAAATTAAGAAAACTGGATTTTCTTTTTATTTTCTTACTGACTTTGTATGGATACATGATAGAAGAGTAAGACTTATCATTTGAAAGCTGTGAATGAGAGAGGCTATGTATTATTGCTTTAGCATACTAATATTTTAGTAGTCTTTAACATTAAATTGTTTCTAGTCCAGGCAGGTACCTTCCATGTTAAGAAGGAAAGAACCAATGCATCTTACTTTACAAAGCCACAAGTATTTGACTAGTTGAAGTTGCTCTTTGTTAGTATATGGTTTTTCATATCCAGAATGGTTACCTGCCTACATGGCTGTATGGAAGAATGGCAGATGATTGGCTAAGCTGCTATTTAAAACAAAAACTCTCTGTAAATTGCATGACAGACTACTATTGCTAGGCTTTGTTTTGGAGTCTATAAATAAGTTGTTGCATGCCAATTCAGTGAGTAAGAATTACTGCTTGAAAAGCAGTTTCACAGTTGCAGATACGCTTTATGGAATTAATGTGAAATACATGTGAATGACATCGTTGTAACTTGTCACAGAATTACAGCTGCATGGCCAGTTGAGGCATTGCTTGATTATATTAAATGGTAGGTGAAAAATATTCTGGTAAATTTTCTGAAGGTTTTGTAGCTTTATGCAAGAAACTCCTGAATATTTTTCTCTCTTTATATCTTACACTACAAAATACTTTTCAGCTTGCTCTTAGGGGAAGGAAACTTGAGGTTGTTTCACATGATTACTAGAGAGATATTTTGTAGCTTTTTTTTTCCCAAATTGGTACAAAGGTTAAAAAAAAAAAAAAAAACCAAAAACCAACAGTTCAGCTACAAGTTTAGTTTCATGTGTTCTTTTGCATTTCTTTTGTGTGTGTATTCAGTATGAGTAAGCAGAATAGAGTAAAGTTTATGGAAGTCAAAGTTAGAACAGAAGATACTTTGGAGGTCTTCCTGTGATGAGGTGTTTGTTTCTTTTTTTATACTAATGAATATTAGGAAACTTAAGTATTTGGTGATCTAAACAATGCTTATATAAGGTTACAGCAAACAGATACTGTTTGACTTAAAGTACTGGCAACATTTTTTAACTTTTGCAACCTTAGGAATATAGTAACCTCAGGTTTTTTTAATGAAACACTAAATGCGTATAGGCACTTAATTTTGTGTAGTGTGGCATCTGTTTAAAGCAGGGTAGCTCATTCAGATCTAAATTTTTATATTTTTATGTAATATCTGAGGGCTTGTCTGGCTTCACAGGTTATTCTGCCCTTGCTCCCGTGGCCTCTTTGGGTCTTTTTTGAACCTGATAAGTAGAATAAAGAAAATCACAATGGGAAGGAATAAGTGAGAGGCATGGGAAGGCATATGAATCTTTTACATTGCTCTTCTGTTCTGGGTACACCAGTGTAACTCCCCATGCTAGTACTTTGTGTAGGAATAAATTAATGTATTCTGAAATAATTGCAGTTAAGATGCTGGTTTAATGTTTACAATTACAGAAGGCCAAAACTGTCACAACAGCTGTATCAGTATTCAGCTGTAAGTCTACAAATCTATTTCCCTGTAAACAGAAAGCTCAAACTTCTTTGTCTTCAGGTACTTTCTTGTCATTAGCTTCAAGGGTCAATTTGGGGATGCTGAAAAGAGGAAAAAAAATCTTGAATGATTCAGCCAAACATTCAGCAGTTGGAGGAGCCTGAGGAACGACACGTAACTGGTCAATTAAAAAAATATTCTCAACGGCAGATTATTTGGGACTGAGATATGTTCAGGGATTAAGTCTCTGTTGAAGTATTCCAGCAAAATAGTTTTCTGACTGTGTCAACCAGGCAAATTTTTAAAGATTACTTTCTGAGAAGGTTATGTATATTCCATGGTTGGTTCATTTGTTTTATAGCTTTTTCCTTCTTACAGCTTTTCATGCAGAAGGGTTTTGTAGTTCTAGCTTTATAATACTAGGAGTATCCTGGTCATGGATAGTTAAAATGTGGCCAAGGTACTGTATCCTCCCAGACTGTGCTCTTAAAAAGTTCTGTCCTAATTGCTTTTGATGTAAACAGGGAGTTGATTTGGGTCCTTTTGCAAATTTTGACTCAAATACTTCAGAATGATTAAAAAAAACCAAACAACCACCACAAACCAAACCCAAGCTTCAGCAGTAGAAAAACAAACACAGTGTGAGGTATAGGGCTGTAATTTAGTGAACTCTTTAGAAAGGGCAGTGGCTTCAATTAGTATCTAATTGCTTTAAAAAAACCTAAGGCATGCACTATAATAAGCCATTAAAACGGGAAAAATCAATATATGTTGAGGTTGTTCAGCCAGGTCAAGAAATAGAGGTTGCTTATGTAACGTCGATCTCTTTCCCACTGTGACAGTACTTTGTAACATGTTTAGTTATGTAGTCTCATTCTGTTCCTCAGTAAAATTTTAGAACTATGTAAGGTAAGTACAGGCATCACTTCTTATTTGGACTACAGAAGACACTGCTGCTCTTCAACATCCTAAATTCTACAATTCAGTATGTGGTGAGAATTGATCAAATGGTCAGACTGTCTTATGTGTGTGTTCAAGGGGATGGAATTAACTGAAATGACAGATGGAGACCAAACAAGATTGAGGTTTTGGTGGAAGGGAGAGAAGCTCTGACTATTTTAAAGGGTAATCTTAGCATCTGCAGGAGTTATTGTTAGTTATCACAAAACTGTCTAGTGGTCTGGCTGTAATTGATTTTTTCAGACCTGCATTATAAAGGCTGTCTAATCCTACCTTGATTAGATTAGTAAGAATGTGGCTGTTATACACAAACTAGTTGAATCTTTCTGATTTGAGTTTAAAGTTTAGCTCCTAATGAATATAGATCATAATGTCTCCTTGCTGGAGATCTCAGCAGTAGGAGAAGTATTGATGGGACACGAAGACTTCCCTCTCTAAGGGGGCATCTCCTAGTCGCCAGGCAATAGACAGCTTTCTTGGTTTTCACATGTTAAAGAGCATTAAAAGCAAACTAGATTATTTTACAAGCAAAATACTAAGAAAGTAAACAATTGCTGTCATAATCAAAGAATCTTGTCATATTCTTTATGAGTAGATGAGAGTTCAAGATGCTGTCCAAACTGTGAAATTTAAAAAAAAAACAACTCTAAATATATTAACAGTAATGAGAACTATGCATTCACTGCTAAGCTGCTGCTCTATAAAACCAGATATTGAAAATATCCTTAGGTTTTCTATCATAAGTGTAGTAATACATTCTGTTTAGCTCTTTGTCAAGTTTGGCTCCACAGACACTGAACTCTGTCAGTGGTTGATTAGTTAGTCTTTGATTAATTCAAATGTTTTAAATACTTCCTAGTAAGAATTTTTTAGGGTTTTTTCTGAGCGTGATGTGCTTTGGGGGAGAAAAAACCACCAAAACTCAAAATAATTTAACTGATCTTCCATTTGGTATGAACAGCTTGGTAAATACAGCCACTATCTCTGTTCATTGAAACTACTACTTGAGTTCCCAATTACTTTGATGCTGCCAACCCAGGCTCCTGTCTGACCTGGTCAGGTCAGCAAAAGAAACTTTAGGAATTGGGAACCTGCTAAGTGTCATCAGAGCTGCCCATGTTCCTGAAGGTTAAATAAATCTACCTGGTGGCTTGCTGCTTGACCCACGCTGCATGATGGAACAGAGTGCAGGTTCCAGAGGCAGCTCTGATGCAGGTCAGGAATGGCACGTGCTGGGATGCAGGAAGGGCTTACCGGCTTGTGTTGGAGAGCAATAGAGTGTGTTCTTACACTGTTGCGCCTGCATTACTAAATCCAATTGAGGATCCCCTAATAGGACATGCCAGGTTGAGGCTGACATTGTGTGTTGTGACTGGCTCTGTTGCTTCTGTAAGTGAGCTGGGTTTCATGGAAGAGTGCTCCTCGAACAGAGGGAAGTATATCTTGCTGCAGCGGCAGCATGCTAATTAGGTTTTTCTAGACTAACAAAAAGGTATCTGCAAGTTTAATCTCTCTTTGTTAATCCTGTTGATCGGGAATTGAGGACTGATTGCAAATTTGTTTTGCTGTATGTAGAAACAGTATGTAACATTTTATGGTGTACTTAAGTTCTGCATTATGTTCTAGGTAATCATATTCTACCTGATGAAGATTTGGCTTCCTTTCATTGGAGTTTACTTGGTCCAGAACATCCACTAGCTTCACTTAAGGTACGAACTTAATACAACTACGAGCAATTAAGCTAAAATCAATCATAATAGTTAATCAGAGCAGTGTAATAGGTTAATTCACAGCAGCTATGCAAGGCTTTTGTTTTTGGTCACCCCCTGGTGTCTCAGTCCCTCTCTGTTGACTACAGAGGATACGTGGGGCCATTAGCCTTACAAGGCTAAACTTAGTCTTTGTGATCCCCCTCAGTGCATTTCAGCTACATAAGCCATATAGCTTCAGTGTCGTTTGGCTTTGAGAATGTAGCTTCTTACTCTTTTCTGTTTTTAAGAGGAGGATTTTTTGTTTAGTCATGTTCTTCAACTGTCAAAAATAATTAGCTGGATATCTTCCTACCATATTGTTTTATTTTCTACTGATCTGAGTTTGTGTGTAATAGTTTTCTGTATTTCTTAAATATGCTAGAGAATGGGTTGCACAAGAAAGCTAATGTGGCCTTCAGTGGATTTTTTTTTTTTTGAGACAAGTAACTTGGATCTGATGCTCTTAGTTTACAGTATGTCTGTTCTGCTGCTTCATCACACTTGCTTTGTGCATCTGCCAAGTAGACAGCTATAAAAGGGAAACTGGACACATCAAAGAATGGGATAGTAGTGACCTTTCTTTCTCTCTGCCACAATAGACTTATCTTTTCCCCTTTCTCCTAAGGTGTTACCATGCAGCTGATTGATTTGCTTTTTGTAAATTCTGTAACCGTTTTGTTGTATCTACAACAAAAATAGGCGGATTTTTTTCCCCCCTTCTGTTCCAAAAGTTTATTGAGCATTGAAAAATTTTAACTTATTTTGCTGAAGATAGAATTTAAAAACAGCTTCAAGATTTTCAGCAGAGTTTTTAAGGCTTGTACGTGCATTGTTTAGTGAACAGCTGTGACAATTTGATGTTACGCTCATCCCCTATTTTGCTGCCGCTCCTGTGTTTAGAAAGGTAAGTGTCAGCACATTGTAGTGGCAAAACAAAATATGCATGCATGTTTGCTTATAAAGTTCCTTATAAAACTTGAGATGAAAAAATGAAAGACTGAAAGAGTGTGCCTATATTTTCATTTTTTTACTAAAAAGGTTGAAATGTAGGAATTCTGTCAAAGTGGTTAATAAACTTTATGTTCAGAATACTCTTCTGTGTGTTAGGCTGAGCAGACTTGTTTACAGCCAGTTCAGTATATGACTTCAGACACCTAGACCTTCTGAAAAGCCTTCTAAATATATACTGATTTACTTGACTAGAATGAGGATCAGATATTTGTCATCTTTGCTTCTAGATTTACATTTTCAGCAGAAACACCAGTTGGGCTTTGTAGCTGGCATCCTAAGGAAATGTAACTTGTTTCCTTAGAGCCTCACTGGTCTGTCTTCGGCAGTCCTCCCTGTATTTATTTAATCTGTTGGCCAATGATAATCAGATTTGAAAGCGGTTCCCATTCTGCTGTTACCGGCTCTGTGAAAACTGATACACTGTTACCAATGAAAAAGATCCAAATTAGTGCCCTTACTGAGGGAAAAGGCTAGCACAAAACATGATTTGTTTAATTTCACAGCAGCTTGCTGGCTAGTTGTTAAGTACATAGCCCTAAACTAACCACAGCATTTCTGTCTCCTGGCTGATAATGATGTCGAAGGGAGAGAAGGAAGAAGGGCTAGAGCAACAAGGACACAAGTCTACAGGAAACCAATCTTCATTAGTTACTGGTCATGGAACAACTTGCTTTTTTCTTTTTCTTTTTTTTTTTAGTTTCACTTTCAACAGTGCTCATGGCTTGAAATTATAACTTGTTTCAGTAGCTCATTAATTCAATTTAATTTCATTTGACATACTAGTATGTCAATGATGTCATTATAGCTCTCTGTGGAGACCTCTTCTGTTAATTGTAGATGTGCAGAAAGCAATATTTCTTGTAAAGTTTATGAATGCTTAAAAAAACCCTAAAAGACACGTTTGTATTAGCCACAAGCTTGATAGCAAGAAGTAGTTTCAGAACAGTTACAAAAAGTGCAAGCTGTCATGAAAACTGGAACTGGTGGGGGGGAGGTTGTTGTGGTTGCCCAGGATGTCATCCCTGGGCTATACTTACAAACTTTGCTTTGTTGTGTCTATTTAGAGTTACCATTGAGTATTCTCCGTACTTGGGGAACTAAGGGCCCTAACAACTCAGGATTTAGAAAACTTTTTCTCATTGTGTAAAGATTTTAATCTTTTATATCTAAGACAGTATGGTCTTGAGCATAACAGATTCAGTTCCCTATGGCCTGATTTGTTGTTTTTCAGTGAGGACTATGACAGTTAATAATGTACAATTTATTCTCTGCATTCTTTATCTATCTTTTATTATGATGTAGCAAAATGGTTACTTTTCCTATAAGAGAAGCTTTTCTAGTTCACCAATTAAAAAGCGTAACTTAGAAAAGAAACTACCAGTCTTCACTGATAGAAAATTGGTGTGTCTGCTTTGCTGTCAATATAGTGAGGTGGGAAAAAAGCAAAAGTGGGGAACCAGTACCTCTTTAAAAGAGGGACATGAGGGTGGTGCATTCATCTAGGAACAGCTGAGTAGAAATGGGAAAAAGGAAGGGAAATAGAAACCTGAGCAAAGAATCCGTATTTCATGTCAGAAGGAAATGAACCTAACAGTCAGGACAACATCTCTACATGTTGGATAAAAAGTCATGCCTTTCAGAAGACACCAGCAATGACTATCAGCTCAGCAAAACTGTTAAAAGTTCCATGGACAAATTTAAATGAAGAGATTTCAATTGCTATTGTTGCAAAAGTGAAAAAGAATCAAAAACTGACACTGCAAGCTGTTGTGAGTCAGGATCTTGTCTGTCTAAATGTCCCTGTGTAAACAGATAATGCATCTAATAAATGTGTAGACCTGTGCTTGTGTCCTGTTACCTGGCTGAGAGCAGAGTTCACTGAAGTGACCACCTGAATCAGAAGCTGAAACAAGAAAGGAGTTGGTAGACTTTCTGAGAAATCATTTGACCACTAGACCTTGTTTGGAAACTAGCCTTACACTACTTTTTATTTGTGTGCTTTGGGATTTATCTTTAAGACAAATAGAATTTCGTTCTTATTCTGGGAAAGCTTTTATGGTATGGAGCTTCAAGATCAATGTATAATACCATCAGAATGATACTAGGAGGGCAGTTTCTTATCTCTGGAATGAATTAGTACCTATTTGGGAGCACATACCACTGAAGAAGTTCTGACTCTTTATTCACAAGGTAACCTTAGAAACAAGTCTTAATGCAGTCTCCCTTTTTGAAAAAGAAGAGTATGTGGGGAAACCTAATCTCCTTAGCTGTTTCATCTCAGTAGAGAGGCAGAGAGATGCTTCCAGACAGCAATCCAGAATATGCAGGTTAGGCTCCTTCTCTGAATTGCTCTAGGAAATTCTTGTCTTTCTCTGTTGACTTCAGAGGGTGTCTGCCAGAGGGAGACTAATATGCTAAGTAGGTGCTTAGGTAATTTGCTGCTGCTCAGATAACAAAGGTAGTACTCTTAAGAGATGCTTAAAGTGTCTGTCTGGTTTTTATTGTTTGGTTTTTTTTAATGCTAAGGGTCATCATAGGATGATTCAGGTCAGAAAGGACCTTAGGAAGTCATCTAGTCCAATCTCCTGCTAAAAGCATGGTCAGCTTGAGGTCAGAACAGGTTGCTCAGGGCTTTGCCTAGACTAGTCTTGAAAATCTCCAAGGTTGGAGACTGCACAACCTGTCTGGGCAGCCTGCTCCATGGTTTGACAGTCCCAATGGTAAAAATGTTTTGCCTTGCATACAGTCTGAACCCATCTTGTTTCAGGCTATGTCTCTTGTCTCTCGTTCTTCCACAGTGCACCACTGTGAAGAGCCCGGCTCCATGTGCTTGACAGCCTTTTTGTAGGTATTGGAAGGCTGCTGTTAGGTATCTCCAAAGCCTTGTCTTTGCCAGGCTGAATAAGCCCCATTCCCTCAGCCTCTTCTCACAGAGTAAGTGCTCCAACTCCTTAACCATCTTGATGGCCTTCTGCAGAACTAGCTCAGCTTTTTTTGACATCTAGCTTGAGCCCAAAACTGAATGCAGTGCTCTAGAGGTGGTCTAACGAGCACTGAGGAGCAAGAACCCTCGATCTGCTGGCCATGTTCCTGCTACACAGCCCAGGGTGCAGCTGGCCTTCTCTGCTGCCAGGGCACCCTGCTGGCTCGTGTTCAGTTTGCTGTCTTCCAAGAGCCCCAGGTCCTTTTTGGCACAACTCCAGCCTGCAGAGTAGCCAGGCGTTATTCCTGCCCTGGTGCAAGACTTTGCTTTTGTAGTTGTGGAATTTCTTAAGGTTCCTGTTGTCTCGTTCCTCTAGCTTGTCTAGGTCTTTCTGGATGGCAGCCCAGCCCTTGACTCGTGGTAGTGTGCAGGGTTGTCATGCGGGTTGTCTCATATGAAGTCTGTCCGTATCACATCTTTGGTTTGTGTTTCTGCTCTCTCTTTTCTTCCTGACATTTTTGTTCCTCCGTTTAGATTTGGTTTTCTCAGAGTCCTGTGTGTATAAATTGTTAGCAAATGATCTCCATGTTGTATGTATTCTTGTTACCATCAAGACATGCAGAAGTAGAAACAGGTCAGTTTCCCAACCAGGATGGAGGGAGGAGGAGAGAGAATTGCTGATAGACTAACCCAGTCTTCAGGGAAAAGCTGAGCTTTGCTGGTTTGAGAGGATTTTAAGTCATCCAGGGAACTTCTTGCCTCTTCAGAAAGCATGTCATTAGATCAGATGCACTACAAGCTTGTAAGATTAAATGTTTTTAACATTCGAAGGCTGATACAAGATCCAAACAGTTTGGATGCGATCTCTAATAGAAATTACTAGACAAAAATAACAAAACCCAGGCAATTTGTTGTAGTATTCTTTATATCTTCAGCCTTTTCTCTCACCAGTGGAAAAAAAAAAGTTCACTATGTGTCATCTCACAGTAACTGATTGTTCGAGGTCTCTTTTTTAGTGGTTTGAAAATAAAACTAAACGGGTTATCTGTTTCCAGCAGGCACAACAGTAAATGCTGGTACTTGTGTCGATTAGCTTTTAAAGGCTTCGCTTCCTGGAGACAGTGGGCAACTGGGGTTGTCCCAGAACTGGGGAGCTTTTCCCAAGTGTAGCTTAGGTACTTTATATGGTCCTGAAAGTCCCATGGAGTTATGCATATGTGAGTCTATTCTCTTTCAATAAAGCATTTTTGCAAGTTTATTTTGTCAAAACCAAGACATTTTTATCTTGTAGCAGCTTGGCCTCTCATTTTGACAAATACCTATGTAGAATTAATTTCCTTTCCCCACTTAATATTTTCAGAGTGCATTAATAGGTCGCTTGTGATTTTTATCAGAGGTCTGTCCTGAAATTTAAGTAGTTCTTTGACAACTAGCAAAGAAACTGTGCTGTTTTCAGATGTCATGCTTTCTAACCTGATATCCTCCAAGTGTGTGATCCACCTCCATGTTTGCCTTTCCAAAATTGATTTCCCATGTTGTTGCTTGTCTGAAACTCTTCTGTAGTGGATAAGGAAAAAAATATCTTCTAAGAAGAAATCTTACAATGAGAAACTTGTTAAATATGATGCTGATTTTGCTCTCAAATGCTTTGTGTGCAGCTAAAAGTAAGTTTGAACCATGAACATGTTTTCTGTAACTTTTGCTGTTAAGTCTTAATTTTTCCCATACCTCACCCTTAGTAAGACTTAGCCTGCATTTAAATGCACACAGTATTAGAAACATTATTTATGATTCAGTACAAAATCAACAGTTTGGATTTCTGGAAAGTTCTACAATGAATAGAAATCTTTTCTTCTTTAATATGAGGAAAGTACATCTTATTTCTCCACTTTTCTGGCTTCTGTGTAGGTCACAACATTTTTAGTTTTGAGGGTGTTCTCACTTCTGGACTGGATATCTTTGAAACAGAATAAAAGAAAATAAAATGCAAATACCTGAAATACTCTAAATCTGTAATACATACTTTCAGAAGGTTTCACTTCAGGAAATAAGGCCATGCTCCAGTGAGGTCCTTAGGCTGTTTGTTTGAAAGCAGCTAAACTGGGGGCGATATGCATGGTAAGCCCTTAACATGTCTCACTTGAGCTTCATACTTCTAGGGCCTGAGCTGAATATTAGTGCTAAAGTGATGTGAAGTCTTCTCCTGATGTTAACTGCTTATCGTTTGTTACTATCTTGGAGATCACATAAAACTAATGATAGATTGCTTACTCCTTTCATCCACTGAATTTTCAAGCAGAGATTGCAGCAACACTTAGGTAGTAATGCAGGGCTTTTCCAAGGGATTGTGCAGAGAGCACATCTAGCATGACACAGCCATGTTATGATTCAGCTGCTTTAGAGATGTATAATTGTTAGAACTACAAATAAAATGGTAGGTGTTCATAAAACGTCTTAGATTACCAGTGGGAAGAAAATCTATTACTTCTGCTTGCAGATTGGGTACAAAGTTTTATTATCAATATTTAGGACTGTAAGCTTACATGCAAATGTGATCTGTATTTAGTATTGGTGTATATATTCAGAATGCACAGTAGTGAAAATTTAGATTTTACTATCTGAAGTAGAAATAATTACCGTGCCACTGACTACACAGAGCAAAGCTGTTAATTTAGGCTCATAAAATGTGGAGCTTCTCTGGTAAAGAATGACCAGGTATAGAATGAATATCCTGACATTTGTAGAAAGTAGACATTAGGAGAAAGAAATTAATAAAAATGGGAATCTGGGCAAAAATTCCATGGCCCTAATATGAATAAGCCAGTCTAAGAAATTGCATAATAAGTGGATCAAATAAGGGTAGGAAAGAAAATAATTACGTATGGTAGACTCCATATAAAATAAAAAGGGGTTGTGGTACAGACCTTAAAGTTGCAACGATAAAACTAATGATGTATTAATCAGAATTTTGCATAAACATTTCTGACAAGGCTGAATTGCAGTATTTTCTAGTAAAGTATGATACCTCTGTGTAGAATGCAAGCATAAAGATTTTTCACACTTTCTCATCTCTTAAAAAATTGAACTGTTTAATAATAATAATGATCTCTCAAGTCTTGAATTACTGTATTTTGCAAATAAGCAGGTTAAGATGTGTTAAAAGCAAAAACCTAGCTGCCCCTATAGGCATAGACGGAGTGCTCCAGAATTGTACAGAGGTTCTGCACAGAATTTTTTAGAAATTCCTCAGGCATCCTCTAAAATTTAGGACATGTAGTTGGAGACATCTTTCCTGTTCCTCTGAGCATGCACACTGTGCAGCACAGAGGGAAAGTAACAGAAACTGCCTATGGTTGAGTAGCTCTTCAGACCCAGCTAGCACCACCGCTCACTGCTTTTAATTTCACAGTGTTCCATGATGGTTGCTTGACCTGTGAAGTTTCTATACCCCATACAGGATCATGCAGTGCATGTAAGAGCAGTAATTCCCATAATCATATGCTGAATAATCCTCAGTTTATTTTCAGGAGGAGCCTATTGAGAGTGTTGAGATGGAAGTCCAGGGCTTCCAGGACTATCCAGTTCCCCTCCTTTCTCCATGTGGACACGAGAAGGGATCAGGCCAAAGAACTGAGTCTAAAACTTCCTGGTACAGCACATCCATCTGCAGCTGCCAGTCGCTGAGCTGCGGGAGCTTCGTCTGTAGGGGCTTTGGACGTCGTCCCACAAAGTTCTTCCAGCTCTTTCTTCTCACTACAAAGAGAGGTCTTTTGCTACAAAGTCCATGGCCTGAGTTAGTGACCAGTGAATCAATGGGAATTGATCATTTTCCTAACATCTTGAGTAGACTGTACTGTGGAATCTGATTTGTAGACAAATCTATGGTCGGTATGGGCTCAGGTCATAAACTGGAGGGAAATTTTTAGCCTGCATTTAAGCATGTGTTTCTAATCCATTTAAAATAGTTGGTGAATATGGGAGGTCAGACACATCTGTCATTGGGTGGTAAAACATCAATTATTTTAATGCCAGAATATTGAAACTATTTTATCAATGGAATTATCTTAAGAATTTCCTCTGTATCTGCAAAAAGAGTAAGCAGCCCTATAACCATGTTGATATTGAAATGCTTGAAAGAGAAAATAACTATGCTCACATCATAGCAACAAGAGAAATCCATGTCATTCTTTGTTGATGTATACTATAAAAAAATAAAAATAATTTCTTGCCTGAGATGTTATATATAATGTGAAGCTGTATGAGTATATTCTACTACAGATAATGAAATATCCAAAATTTGAAAGCACGGATTATTAAACCATGTAATCTTCAAATAATGATTTTTAGGCCAATTTCTGTAGAATCTTGAAAATAAGTTTCCTTGAGAGACTCCTTTTTTTCCATTTGTTTTTCAAATCCTCCGTTTTCTGTGTACATAGAGATCTTCTTGTTCCCAGTGGATCTCTCATCAATTCTGATACCTCCTTACATTCAGAATATAAATTGTGTCAAAATACAGTATATTCTGGCATATATATATATATGTATGTGTATATAAAATGGATGTATTCACTAGATAAAGCATTTTGCACTGGAGGAAATGTCTAGCTAGAAAGCATTGTTGACCTTGTTTGTTGTTGGAGCTGATATTTAACCAGCAAATATTTATGTAGAGGTGAGGTTTCCCATATATATATAACTATACCATAGATGAAAAACATGAGTCATTGTTTAAGGTGAAGTCTTAAAAACAAGGTTGAAAGCCCCAAAATACTTAGATACTAAATCTGGCAACATGGAATTTGTTGAATATATTTTCAGTAAATAAATAGTTTAATTCTCTGGTGTGTAACTGAAGTATCTTGGGCTACCCTGTTATTTCATACTGGCTTGTATGTTTGTTTGCATAGGTACGTGCTCACCAGTTAGTTTTACCACCTTGTGACGTAGTGATCAAAGCTGTAGCTGACTACGTCCGTAATATTCAGGACACCACTGATTTGGATGCCATAGCAAAAGATGTTTTTCAACATTCACAGGTAAAGTACAAAGCAAAATACTGGTTTGGTTTTTTTTTTTTAAAACCAATTGTACTATATGTTTGTGTTGAAGAATTGCATTCTATAAAAATATCGTATTGCATCAGTTGGTAATAGGAACCTATAAGTATATGCAGTGTCTTAGATACTCTAATTGCGCTTTCCATCCTTCCGAAGGTAGAAATACTGCATTTACCCTCAGTGCTTTAAAGTTAAATTCTTGATAACCAAAGGGGTTTTGTAGTCTGGCTTTGTGCACTGTCATTGAAAATCAGTGGTACATGAAGACAGTATTTTCAAGCTTTATCCTTACATGGATTGGCATAATATTTCTTGGGCTGGAGTCGTGCTATAGTCCTCAAGGGTCCATAGGTCTTAATACTGTATGTGATATAGTATACGTTAACTACTCTACAGTATAGTGCTGACCTATAGATTACATGCCCAGATTTGCTCCTGACAGATCTTTTTGTTTGTTTGTTTTAGTCTAGAACAGATGACAAAGTTACTCGATTTAAGAGAGCAGTTGCTTATTACTCGGCAACTAATAAACCTATGCCATTTCATCCACCACATTACCTAGGTAAGTAATTAAAGAAAAAAGGCTTTTTGTTTTAACTAAAACCTGGGATAACTCTAAACCAGAAATAGTAACATTGTAAAAATGTTTATATTCTCTGGCAATTTTCATTGGCCCTTGAATATGAGGTTTCAAAAGAAGGTATTCATAGGATATGGGTAGAGATTGTGTTCTTTCCCCAAAAAGAGGAGAACAACCTGGACTGATTTTCTTCTTAGCTATTGCTGCATCGGTTCTAGATTTAGGACACTTGAGAGTTTGGTGCTGTAAACAACTGAAATCTGGTGACCGGTTCCAATCGTGAAGACAGTTTCTATTTATATTCCATAAAACATATTTCGTGTTTCTCACTGGACTTACCTGACATGCTTTAGAAATCCCTTTAGAGTCTGTGATTTTTCGATGTCATAACATACCTGCTTAAATTGCAACCATGAATTGTTCTGGCATTGCAGATCATCCTCAAGGCTTACAAATGAACTGTATGATCACAGGATTTACCACACATACCTCCTCCTTAACACTAAAACATAATTTGAGCTGAAATTTTCTAAAGATTTCCAGTTACCATACTGGTATATTAATCCAGATTTTTTTCTTCTCTTTTTTGGGGGGTGTCTCTTATTTACATTCACAGACCTGCATTAAAGGGCATTAAGGCTACTCTAGGTCAAATATTCAAATGATAGGAAGTGCCAGCATTATGTGTCTGTGTGACATTCTTTTTGCTGGCTTCTTCATTATGACATCTCTTGGGCTTTTTTTTTTTATTTTTAAGCTTCCTTTGATTCCCAGGTAGAATAGAAATGTGCAGTAAGAGAAGGTGAGACAAGTAAAATAGACTTCACAAGCTACTGAGTATTTTTATTAAATGGCAAAAATGAATGAAACTACTTAAAGGCATATACATAGAAAATAGTAATGCTAACAGAACAAGAATAAATAAACCATAGAAGCAAAAGTATAAAAAGGGTAACATTTGTGTCAAATAGTGAGCATTTTCATGAGTGTTTGGGTTTTTTTCTTGGTTTTTTTTCTCTTCTTTTTTTCCCTTCCTCCCTGTTTGCATTACAGCAGCCAGACCAAATCAGTTTGGTATGCCTGGGATAGTGCCACCATATGTTCCTTCTCAGATGCTTAACATTCCACAGACCTCACTACAAGCAAAACCTGTGGTAAGTATAGCCCTCTGCCCTTCTCCTTGGGAGAAACCTGCTGTGCTCATCAAATTAAAATCTAGGTGGGAAAGGTAAATCTAACTTTTTTAGCATGGGTGTTCACTGATTGAATTTTAAGTCTGGAACTATGGTGATGCTACAGACTCTGGTAGAGCAATTTTTAAGGATGTCCAAGATGGCTGAGATTTGATGTGTGCATTTCGAAAATGCCGCTTGATTAAAAAATGTATTTTATTTTAAAAGAAAAGCCTTTTTGTTACCTTCTACTTAAGAAAGATCACTTTATTTCAGGCCCAGCAGATGTCCAATCAGGGTGGGGCCCAAGGTCAGGGTCCATACCCATATAGTCTCTCTGAGCCAGCCATCACCTTGGAAACAGGTGGAAAAAGTCTTTCTGAGCAGAACAACTACAGTAACATTCCTCATGAAGGAAAACATACACCATTGTATGAACGATCTTCTCCAATAAATCCAGCTCAGAGTGGGAGCCCTAATCACGTGGATTCAACCTATTTTCCTGCCTCTTCTACATCTTCGTCCTCTGACAATGATGAAGGCAATGGAGGTGCAGTGAAGTAAGTTTTACATGAGGATGTTTTCTTACTCTTGTTTCTGTTAAAATAAATCTACTTTAAAAATCGTTCACCAGTATCCTGAAAGTAAGAAATCTGCAAATTAGTGATATGGTAAGACGTTAAAAAAATAGTTTTAGGTCACTATGACCGCAAACACATCCATGGTTTACTCTAGTCGCCTTGTTCCTTAACAAGCAGAAATCCAAAACCGAATAATGTTGGGTGTTTTTCCACTTCTGCCCTTATGTTTTATTGAAAGAAAGACAGAGTGAAATTTTGGTAAATGTCATAAAGCCTTTGAGTTCTTTACTTTGTATAAAAGAAATATTCCTACTTCACAGTATAATTCATTAAAATTTCAGTAGCTAAAAACTATGAAACTTCACTGAATTGGTAGTGTTTACTCTTCTTAAATTTTGGGATAATGTGACTTTGCAAAGAAACCTGGTGTGAATGTCAGAAATTCATCATATAGGACAGTGACTTAAGAGCCCTCGTTGACAGGCTATGTGTGGAACAAAGCAGCAGTGAAATTGTTTTTGCTCTGTTCTACTAATGTGCCTTGTTTACTGCAGAAGTGTTCCTGACTTCCACTAGATCATATGTCTGTCCTTGGCAATATAAAGTTGTGCAGACTTTCATTTAATTACTGCTTCCTGACCTACAAAAAGGAAATTTGAACAGAGGCAGTTCGTGTTTACCTTTGTCTTGTTAGGTGTAGTGGCTTACTGTGTGAGAATCAAAGCCTGGGGCTGTACCAGGTCTGTCATTGCCTCTAAAAATCTGGGGTTGTGTATAATAGTATGTTACTACTGGGTATTAAATTCTGAATGTGTCTACAATTATGCATGATGGCTTGGACTTCACTATTTTGATGCAGTCTATCAACTTTAAATATTATCATGTGTTTTGCTTAGTAAATCGAGTAAGTTTGCATGGCTTCCATGCAGCACAGAACTGGAAATGTACCTGCTTTAGAAAAAAAACAATACAAGATGTTTTTCAGCGTTTTTGATAGTGTTGCCTTATGCATTTTATGCAATAAATGTTGAATAAATTTAGAAACTGAAATCTAGACAGTGTCATTTATATTGCAGTTTGGAGAAATAGCCCTCTAATTGAGGGACATTACTTGGCATAGTGACAAATATTTAAAGTTCAATCAAGAATTTTTCCTGCATGAACATTATTTAGTCATTGTAAGGTACAGCTTTTCAGTACAATCCAAATGTTGACATAGTGTAAATGAACAAATGTCGGTATTAAAGTCTCTTCAAGACTGCTACAAATTGACATTTCTAATACAAAGCATCCCTTAATCACAGTCTCTGGCCCATAGTTCCAATAACAGTCACAAAGGATTTATCCCATTGTATCTTAAACAACACTTTAATATGATGTTTTTCTTTATGTTGTCCTTCAGCCATGTCAGTGGGAACAAAATAGGCTGGGAAAAAACAGGAACCCAGTCAGAAAGTCAAACTCGTGGAGAGCTGGGAGACCAAACAAAGGTAATTCCTTAAGTTCCAAACATCACATTTTATTATTTTGTATTAAAGCATTACAACAAACTCTGAGTAGAATTTTCAGTATTGATCTGTAGGATTTAGTGTAAGCCTTTACACATTTTTTGTGAATTACAAAACAACAGCTTTAAAGTACAGTAAGTTTTCCAAGGAATATTGTAGCATATACATAAAAATGAAAATTAAAAAGGATGTGTTAGAAAATACAAAATCGAAAGAAATCAATAAACTTGTTTACTCCTTAGCTAACAATCTTATCCTTAGATATTGCTATCCGTGTTTACAGTAGTGCCTTATTTTGATTTTTACTAAGGAGTATAGTGATCTAAGTGTCTGTGGGTTCAGAGTCCATGTCATATAACCTACAGTGTAGTGAGAACAGCTCTAACATATTTCAATGTTAGCCACAGACCATTGTAGGTGTGTTAAAGCTCAGCTGAGGAGTAAAAGTCCTTCATAACCACCTGGTATGAATTTCACATAATACATACTAAAGTAGCTCTGTGGGACCAGTTAAACTGTATTGCTACTTAACTAAGAATGGATGGGATAACTAAGCCCTTGATAAAGACTTAATATTATCCTATTAAATTTCTTCAAGATTTAAAACCATTGTCAAATTAAGAGTATGATGGTCTATTCCAAGTTTGAACCGTGTTTGGAAAGAACATTCAAAGCATTTGCACTTAATACCTCTGCATCTTCATGATGGAACTGTACACCAGCTGTTAATTTTGTGTCAAAAAGACCCAATCACGAGTTACTTATGCTGTAGACAAACAGAACATTTTCCCTGTATCTTTGGCATAGAAATTCCAGTAAACTTGGGCTTTGTGCTTAAAATATCAAGCTGATGATTTCATCCATCAGTGGTTATTATTTTTGCAGACTACGCCCCGTACGATAACTGTATCTGCCTGTGGATTAGTCACCATATGCAAATGCTAATTTGACCTATTACATTCCTTTCTCCTCTGTATTACGGGCCATGTTTGAAGCCCGGTGCGTCCCAGCTGCAGCCCTGCATGTGTGCTGCACAGCAGGATGTCCTGTGGAGGCGGGGAGCAGCCGCAGCAGCAGTGGTGCCTCCCCTGGAGCTGGGCAATGGATGGGTGGGACATGCTGCACAGCATGTCTGGCTGCCTGTCTTCGTACACGCAGAATTAGAGCTGTATAAGCAGTGATTAAGCTTTCCAATAGATATATGCATGGAGTCCAACTTAAGTGCATCCAATTTAATGTATAAATGCTTGTGAGTTTTACTTGCCTTTTTTTTTTTTTTATATCAAACCACTTCTTCAGCCTTCAGTAGCAGAACAGTTGCATCTTTTGAGCATGACATGGAGGATTATGAGTACGTTTTGTAGATGAACTCATTTCCTAGAGAGTTATATATCAGTGATTTAAAAAAAAAAAAAAGAAATATTTCCTGAAGATTTCAACTGAATGAGCTATGTGAATTTCTGAGGTGATTTTAAAGTGCTGAAAATGTAGCATAGATCAGGCAGGAAGCAGCAATGTTGATGCTCCTTTCACTTGACTTAAATGTCAAAATTCCTTGCTCGTAGTTGTCTCACTGCATGATTATACATGACAAAGGTATACTCATCTCATTTGGGTGGATGTATATCACTAAAGAAAAGAAAATACTTTTAACTGTGGTAGTTTCTCAGCTTAGGTGTTTGAATATTGCTGGAGCGAATCCAGGAGGAACCTGGGTAGTGCAAACAGGGAAAGCATTGCTATCATTTGGGGGTTTTTGTCTTCTCCCCTCCGTGCCCTCAATAATCAGCAGTTCTATAAACTTCTCTTTGTGGTCCAGTATCACTGACTTTTAGTTGCTGGGGTAGTAGAAGACGGGGACAAAAATCCTTAAACAGATAAAGAAATATTTGATAATATAATACAGAATTAATAGAGCTGTGATAGCTCGTATTTATAAAAACATTCTGTATTTGTATATTTTGTTAGAAGTGTTCTGGATTACAGGTTTTAACCATTTCTTCTGTATATTTTCATTTTTATAAATAAAATGAAGTCTAGATTACCAACTCTGAAATATAATCTTTCAGTAACATCCTCTTTGATTGTGTGCTTAAAATGTAATCTGAAAATAATATTGCCCCTTTGAAATTTTGCTAGACCATGTTTTTACTAATATACACCTTTCTATAGAAAGGTTTTGGAGGTTGTGTGGGGTTTTTTTGCTTTTTACATGCAAGTTTGTATTTTTCATAAGAGCCTGTAGTGAACAAGCTGAGCTTGTTTGGGCCTATTTTTTATGTTACTCGTTCTGTGGGATTTCATGGCTTTCGCCATTTCTGTTTCAGCTTTCCTTTTAAAGTCTTATGAAGAATGTGAAGTTTTCTACACAAATTGTAAAAATACTCATGTGTGATGTATCATCAAGTGAATAAATTAAATTTCAGTCTCAAAACTTTTTAATATTGCTATAATGGTTTATATAGGCACAAGACTAGTATGAACTCTTAAGCTAAAAAAAGCTTTGTTTTGAAGACAAGGATTTTGGGGAATGAACTCTACTTTTTTTGGTAGTATCTGTGAGAGATACAACATAAATGCTTACAAAAGGCTTATTCACTGGGAGGTTTACAGTATATTTTTGTGTGTCATATTTTTCCTATAAATTTGTGAACTACATTTCTAGAAATAGAATAAAATGCCACTTTTATCTTGCAGTCAGAAAATGTTGCCATTTTCTCTTACAAGCTGCTGCTGCTTCTTTACGAAAGAATTTTATTTAAAAAAAAAAACCAAACAACAAAACATTTACAGGGCTTTTGAGTTCAGACACTATACATTTTAAATGTCTTTAAATTGAACTATGTAGTTTTACCTGCTTCATTTAGAAATGAAAACTGAGAAGGGATGTGTTAATGGAAGTCTGGATAAATTACAGACTTTGTGACTCTCAGTTAACCCATTTCGCTGGTAGCATATTGGAAATACTTAGTTAAGAGGTCATTCACATTTCATTAAGAGGTCACCGGTCCCCCTTCTGTATGTGCAATTAAAAATTAAAATAATGATTACTGTTGCTGTTAATAAGTTAAAGCTTTACCATAATATTTTTTTTTCAGTAATTTTGCTTCTGCTAGCAAACAATGGCTGAAAGTTTACATTTTCTGAAAATCTTTTAGCTAGCTTTGGATAATGTATTCTACATACTGATACAACATGATGTGAAGATTTACTATTTTCATTGTGGGTGAAGAAGGAAATTTGCTGTTTCTCTTGGCTGATCTCCTGGTATGTTTCCATACACATTCAAAAGCACTTCATTTTGTATGTTCTGTTATAGGCAGAAGGTTCCTCTAGTGCTTCTTCAGGAAGTCAGGCAGCTGATGTCAAAGGGAATCAAACCAGTAATCCACAAATCCCATGCCTGTTGTCAATGCCCACCAGAAACCACATGGATATTACTACCCCTCCATTACCTCCTGTAGCACCTGAAGTATTAAGAGTGGCAGAACACAGGCACAAGAAGGGGTTAATGTATCCCTACATCTTTCATGTCCTAACCAAGGTATGATAGTTAAAAATTATGTACTCTGAAATAACAATTCTGTAAAGATAATTGCACTTGCATTTCTGACTAAAAATGATAAATTTACATCCTTTTTAATGCTTTGAGTTTTAGTCCATTTTTAGTGCTTCTAACAATTTTTTTCCCCTGTTTTCTAACCGCTCATCTGGTCTGGTATATTGTTCCAATAGACAGGAGAAGACTGTAATTAGAAGTGTTTGCTTACAAAATTAATCATTTTTCCTGAATATATGTAGATATTTTTATATCTCTGCATGTGTGTCTGTGTGTGTATATATATGTGTGTCTGTTTTTGTGTAGAGTCCATTTCCATTTAAAAACTCCTGCATATGTGCTTTGGTGTCTGTGCCAAGTCTATTCTATTTTCAGTGTTCAAAAATACTTAGATTGTTTTCCCCCACAGTCCGATCCCTCCCATCCCTGGTAGCTAGCCCTGATAGAAACATAGCAGCTATAAGAAATCCCCTTTGTATAATCCTAAAATGTAATTATAGATTAACTCCATGATGTTCTGAACTTTTGTTCATTTTAGTTTGGCAGAACATTTCTGATGGCTTGGGGTTTTTTTTTTTGTTTGGCTATTTTATGTGCTAGCTTTCAGATGCCAGGTAAGCTGCAAGCATTTTCACACAGCCTAGGACTCTTTGTCTGCTCAATGTATCCGGTAAAAAAAATCTACCTAAATGTCCACATAAGGACACCTTGAAAAGCAGGGGAGAGCTTCTTACAGAACTAAGCAGCGATAACCTGTTTCAGTGTGTTGGGAAGCTGCTGAAGTCTGCTTTGTGTTGAACCAGAGCCAGACTAGTGGTGTTGCTGCACAACTCTGTATTTGACTTAATCTAGTTTCAAAAGACCTAAGTTTGTTGTTCCTTCTAAATGCAAACAGATGAGTCCCAGAACAAGACGACTTTAATATTCCCCTTTAGAGTTCAAAATGGTTAGTACTGGTTCTTGTACATCAAGCCCATTCAGTGTACATATTGGTACAGCATCTAGCAAAATGGCACGGTCCACATTCCTGTTAACTTATATTCATCTTGAAAATCTGCTTCAGATCCATAGGCAGGATCTGAAATGCATAAAAAGAAAAGTTTCTGGATCAGGGTTGGGGTTTGGATTTTCTATTTCCCATGCGTTTATTTTGCACCATAACTTGTACTGGCTGCTGTGTTCTTACACTTCTCTTCCTTATCAAAGAAAAGTGGAGGAGAATCAAAAGGTGTATGAAGACCACTGATGTCAGTTCTGTTTCACATTTTGCATAGCCAAATATTCTTAGTACATTTAAATAGTACTTGATGTTTAATCATAGAATCATTTAGGTTGGAAAAGACCCTTAGGATCATCGGGTCCAACTGTAAACCCAACACTGCCAAGTCCACCACTAAGCCATGTCCCTAAGCACCACATCTACACATCTTTTAAATACCTCCAGGGATGGTGACTCAATCACTTTCCTGAGCAGCCTGTTCCAGTTGCTTGATAACCCTTTCAGTGAAGAAATTTTTCCTAATACCCAACCTAAACCTCCCCTGGCACAACTTGAAGCCGTTTCTTCTTGTCCTATCACTTGTTACTTGGGAGAAGAGACTGACCCTCCCCTCACTACACCCTCCTTTCAGGTAGTTGTAGAGAGCGATAAGGTGTCCCCTCAGCCTCCTTTTCTCCGGGCTGAACAACCCCAGTTCCCTCAGCCGCTCCTCACAGGACTTGTTCTTTAGACCCTTCACCAGCTTCCTTGCCCTTCTCTGGACATGCTCCAGCACCTCAATTCTTTCCTGTAGTGAGGGGCCCAAAACTGAACACAGGACTCGAGGTGCGACCTCACCAGCGCCGAGTACAGGGGGATGATCACTGCCCTAGTCCTGCTGGCCACACTAGCTCTGATACAAGCCAGGATGCCGTTGGCCTTCTTGCCCACCTGGGCACACTGGTGGCTCATATTCGGCCAGCTGTTGACCAACACCCCCAGGTCCTTTTGTGCCGTGCAGCTTTCCAGCCACTCTTCCCCAAGCCTGTAGCGCTGCATGGGGTTGTTGTGACCCAAGTGCAAGACCCAGCACTGGGCCTTGTTGAACCTCATACAATTGGCCTCGGCCCGTCAATCCAGCCTGTCCAGATCCCTCTGTAGAGCCTTCCTACCCTCAAGCAGACCAACACTCCTGCCCAACTTGGTGTATTGTATCTCACAATGGGAGGAAACGAATTAAATGCCTGCATTTGAGAAATCCTCTCCCAACAGAAAAAAAAGGTCAGTCTAGAGATGGGTGCATAAAAAATAAATTAGTAGTACTTAAGACTTTTTCTTTCCCCACTATCTGAAATGCTTTTGAACAAGCATGGACAGGGGAGCTGAAGTATATCATGGATACACTGACAGATCTTGTTGTATAATTATGGGATTCTTTAGAAGTTGGCACATAGAGGTGTTCTAGGTTATGTTGCTGTTGTGTAGAGAGAGAGACCTTTTAGACATACCTTATACCTAAAGTAGCATTGTCCGAGTTAAACCTGACAATATCCTAATGTAATCACTCCAAGATGTCACTTACAGTATTCATTGCTGGGACAGTTTAAAGGGTTTTTTTTTTAAGTAAAAGCAGAACAGAGCACTTGCTTGTCAGTGTTGAAAATAAAGGCTGATGTTTGGGAGCAATGCAGTGAAGTCAGTTGTTTTCCAAGAAAATCTTAACGTGGTTGGATGTGCAGACTCAGAAAATATAGCATGTTGCTGCTGTTTTGAGAGAGAATGTTGGAAGGTTCTTTCATGCTTTTTTCTGAAAAAGTACAAAATGCTAAAGCTTTATTTATATACTTTCAAAACCAACCTTGCTTATGTAATACCCAGTTATGATTTTTTGACCAGGTCTTCTCATAATGTTGTTTCTTATAGTTAGTTCCCAACACTATTTCAAATCCTTGCACCAAAAAGTCAGACTGGTGTTTTCAGACAGCATGAATATTTTTTTAAAATAACCATCTGAAATCTAGATCAGCTTCAAATGTGCTTTGACTATCTAAAAGTGCATTACTGTATTTCTGTGTCTACTATATCACTCTTCAAAGTATCCATATTTGAAGATGAATATTTAGGTAATCCTCACCTGCAGATAGTCCAGACAAAAAAAAGAAGTGTGTGATGGAGAAGAGAGAGAGGAGAGCAACAGGGATAATCAGAGCCTGGAGACATATTGGAAGAAAGCAAGTAGTCTGTAGGGTAATCCTCCTCTGGTGTTACCTTCACATACCTAAGATCCACATTACTGGTGAATAACATTTTTCTTGACTAGATGAGATGTATATTAGCTCTGGACTGAGTTACCATGCATACCTAAATGCTTTCTGTTCACTATAACATGTCGTATTTTTCTGCTTTCTTTCATGCCGAAGGGTGAAATCAAAATTGCTGTTTCTATAGAAGATGAAGCCAACAAAGACCTGCCTCCTGCTGCTCTCCTTTATAGGCCAGTTCGTCAGTATGTTTACGGAGTCCTGTTTAGTTTGGCAGAAAGCAGAAAGAAAACTGAAAGACTTGCTTTTAGAAAGAACAGACTTCCACCAGAATGTATGTACTGTAGAAGCCATTCTTTATTTCTCTTCCTTTTGCTATGTTTTCATATCCATTTGTACTGTGATTTGAATGAGGGTAGTTGCTAAGATTTAATCGGTGTAGCTAACACAGGAGGAATTTATGGCTTATTTGATCCCATGGATAATAGAAAAAGATGTTAATTTGAAATTTTATTTCCTATAGTAGTTTAAGAACTATGAATGTTAACCATTTCTAAGCAAGCTCTGGGGTTTCTTTTTTAAAAACTATGCTCAAGCGGCTATCAGGCTTGCAGCAAGTAATGTCAGTTTGTGATGTAATTTTCAAAGTATATGGTAGAACTTGATTATAGGAAACTTCTATTCTGTGCATATGCATACAAATGTGCATACTTTTTTTCAAAAATGAGGTGTGCATGTTAACTTACCCTGTCTTCCCAAATGTATAATTAAATGTACTTCAGTGAAATTTGCAAGTCTCTAGTATCTTTCAGGTATTGGCATATAAAAACTTGGTTTAAAACCTGCAGAAGTCAGGTGTAATATAAGTAAAGGTAGACCTGGGTGAAGACAGACTAAAATTTTGCAAACAGACTTGTCAAAAGTTCCTTTTGCTAGTTCAGAGGGATGAATGTTAATCTTCATATTAATCTGGAAGTTGTCTTTTTAAGTCTTCTGCTTCAAGGAATTACTGTCATTCCAGAAAATTCAACCTCCTCATTCTAGAGTGTTTTTCTTGTAATGAAATGCATACAAGGAAATGAGTGAACTTTACAGTAGCATCTTACAAAGGTTAAAGGAATGCTAAAGCATTAAGTGAATGGCAGAAGCAGCAGCAGCAGTATTTATACATAGGAGTCTGCTGTCAGTAGACTAAATTTAAGAATCATATTTAGAATGTATGAAAGCATCATTCACAGTCTTCAGGTGTAAAAGGATAAAAATAATAATCAGTTGTAAACTTTCTGTTCATTCCCTTTTCTCTTTCCATTTTTAATTATGAAATGTTTCTGTACATTTGTAGTGAAGGTGATAATCTTCCAATGATGTTTGGAAAACTGTTTATCTTAGGCAGTTATTTTGTGGGAATTAGTATTTACCCTGCTTGAATAATATCTCAGCACACGTATTGTCACAAACTTCTTAATTCTTTAAACTCACACAACATAGTATTTCAGGTTACAAGGTTATTTCAGAATTAAAATAGTGATGTTATTTGCAGTATTCATTTATCCTCATTAGACTTCTGTCCTTAAAAGTGTACTACAGTGTTTGTAGGGGTGAAGTAGCTGAGTGCTGAAGGTCTGCTTCAGTTTTCTGAATGTTTTTATCTTGTAAACCTAGAATGTTCTCTGTCAGCTAGTGGGGAAACCTATATAATCTCTATTTTCTCTTCATTTATACTGCTTTTCAGAGGTTTATTCTCAATGGAGGCTAAGAATGCTACTGCTGACTTGATTTAGTTACAGGAGCTCCGGCAAATCTTGCTGCAGGACACATTCAGCTACTGACCTACTTCTATCTTAGGACTGACCACGCTCTTAAAAAAATAAAAAAAAATTTTTGAACGTCTGCCCAAAAGTTAGTTGCTTCTCAAAGCTAAACATGCTAGGAAAGATGGATTCGAGCTAAGATGCAAGCATGTGGTTTGAAAGGGCTATGTTGCAGGAACACATTTATTTTGGTCACCTGTCTTACAAAGTAGCAAGAATTCGACAGGCTATGCAAGACGGAAGGAGAGAATAGTGTCTTAAGCGACAAGAGCAGATTTCTCAGATCGATTAGTCACACATATTAGCCCTTGCTAACTTTTCTGAGGACCCAAGCTGTAATGAATTAGTGATGCTGATTCTCCTTCAGTGTCTTAATTTTTTGCTGCTCTCAAAAATGAGTAAGTTACGAAACACAGTAATTAAGACCATTAAGAGGAAATTTAAGAATTAAGAGATGTTAAGAGAATTAAGAAATTAATTTCTAAAGAGATGTATATTGTCCTTAAGACTTATGTAGAGAGGTAATGAATATATTAATATGTAAAATCCTGTCATCTTTGTTGTACAAACCACAATGCTGGCAACATAATAATTGTACATGAATAATTTGCAAGTATGTTGCATGCAAGGGTTATAGGAGGCTATGAGAAATACATAATAAACTGACACATCAGTATTACTACTAAATATATAGACAGCAGGATAATGGGTCTTTCATAAAATGGATGACTTCCTGTCTTTTAAATTATTATTATTTTTATGTAGTTGAAAAGCCAATGAAAAACAACAGATCTGTCGGAAGAGGTAGTCAGTCAGGTTCTTCAGTGATAATTGTCTGCTAAGTAATGCCTTTGCTGTACATGTCCTCATGTCTGCTCCCAGAGGATATGAAAAGCTGAATCACAAAGTTCTTGATTGTGCTTTTGCTGCCAAGGGCACAGCATTGGCTGAGCTGCCCTTCCTTCTGAGGAGATGGAAACCGAGTGTCTGACTGACTCTTCTTTTCAAGCTCTGAAAGAGGTTATTCCCCATGTTCTGAAAAATACATATGTGTAGATGAAACCATCTGCCCTTTCCACTTTGTGGAAAAATGCACACTTGTACAAGCTGTTATAACTCCTGGTTGGATCCAAAGGTTTGTTATTTTAAGCCTAGCCACCTTGTGATGTACTGTTCTCCATCAAGGATGTATTCAGCTGGTGCTGTTTCTGCCAAAAGGAAAGCCATATCTTGGGCAGTAGCCCTTTTGCAAAATCAAGCATGCTTAGCTCAAGCTGTGCTGTCGGTAAAGATTATAAGGTTAAAAATGAGGCCTGATTAATCTGCATTAGCTAGCTCATCTTCTAGTCATATTGGGTACCTCCCACCTCACATTCAGTTCATGAAAAAAATGCAAAGAGAATACTAAAACCACCTGAGCTGTAGTGAGCAACAAGGGCTCTAACAGACAGCTTGAGTGTGCAGGATGCCGTTGCTAATGACTTTAGAGCCTGTAACAGCATTCACATGTTTATCAAGCAGGTTGCCCTAATGCAGATTGACGCTGACCTTTTTTACTTGGATTGACCTTAAAGTGTCGTGAGGGTAATGTTCAAAGCAGATGTCAATATATTGTGCAGTTGCTTAGGCTACTTTGAGTACTCAGATCTGCTGATCAGCAGCAGGAGGAAGTTTAGTATGAAAAACAGTATAATTAGCACTGTGATGTTGTGGCTGAACACACTGGTCCTGAGTGTTCATTGTAGCTAATGTAGTCTTCAAGGGTGACATTGCTTATCTCCAAGTGGAAGTCCTGGGAGGAAAACACAGAATGTTCCTCTGAGGACAGAGATCCTCAGCAGCTGAGGAAGACTGTTTTTGGCAGCAGTCCCAGTACAGAGTTGTCAAAGGTGTAAGAAATGCCCTGGAGAAATAAGAGGATGTGGACAAGTCCTCAATTCGTCTGTTATGTTAAATGCTAAATTTGGGTGAACAGTGCTACAGTTACTTGTCAAATGATACAGCTGTAATTCCTCATCCCCATCATGCAGAGAGGATACTGTTTGCCAGTCTGCTAGAGTGACCTTCATATTAAACCATTCTGCAAGAAGCATGGTTACCTTTCCCATAATAACCATTACTTTGCAAAATTTTGAAGCCAGGGTGGATCTCCAGTGTGACTTCTACAGGTAGCATCTTATTGAAGACAAAATGTTTTGAGAGCAAACTGAGGTACTCTTCCTGTGGCCTTAACCTCATAGGGTCGTCGGTCATCCCCAGATTAAAAGCTTTGAACCAAATTTGAATGTTGAAACATAGGATTGCAGATAGAAAACACAGACAAGCTTCTTCTAAGCTTGAGGTCTTTATATGTGAAATATATGTGGAAGAAACGTTTGTGTTGTGTACAGCTCTGTTTCCTTGCTGTTGTCTGCTGTTACAGGAGGTGTAGAAGCTGAGGAAGTGGTCATCTGGGGGTGCTTAAATGTGATGGGCACATAGAGTTTGCATCTGCTTGCCTCTGGAGGGGCATCCAAACCGAGGAACTGAGTGTGGCTAGGAGTATCACCTCTATTGTCAAAAGGAGGTTGTACGAAAGAAAAAAAGAACTCCAAAACACAAAGAACTATTTTATGTCAATTGTCAACAGTTTGGGTTTTTTTTACTGCTAACAGATTAAACTGTTCTGCATAGTAGCCTCAGTGTGTTTCCTGTCTGTTTGCTGAGAGAGCTAAGAAGTTTTGGTCCCAAAGTATCTCTTGCTTCTAAGACCTAAAGCAACTAAACAAGTCTTTGAAGGCCTACATAAAATACATCCTTTTATTTGTTCATGTTTACTGTGCCAGGCCTAAACAAGAAGTGAAAACTTCTATGCACAAATAACAGAGTGGCTCTGCTGGCTGTTAGAGCCCATCTTCTATAGCTTGGTGGCATATAAAAACCGGTAGCAACCAAAATAGAACATGATTTTGTAGTGAGGCTACCAACTAAATATATCAGAATATTTATTTTCATTGCTGCATGTTATCTTTGTAAAACTTACCCTGAGCTCTGTGAAATGTAGCTATAATGCTAGACTAGTTTTATTCCAGAAAAGCATGTGAGTGCCTTGGGCTGTTCTGGAGGTTCTTTCTTTAATCCCAGTCATCACCTCTGCCATGGTTTGCCTGCCCCTAATTATAAAATTACTTGTAAGGCTGATGTCTGATTGCTGAAGGAGGCTTTGTAGCTCTAAGGGCTATCCTGGCACCAGTAGTACTCTCTTCTCGATGTGTAACAGAAAGATTTCTAGCAGAAAGAGTAGGTCTGTGCTCCTGCAGTGAATCTCTCCAGGCTGTAACCTGAAGCTGCACTAACAAGCTCCGTGAATCTTTCCACACTGCATAACTGGGCTCTGAGTTAAGAAGGGTGCAAACAGATTTTGAGCTGTGTCAAACTTGGGGTCATTCCAAGGCCAAAGGTATCATTTCTCAGTCTTGACTTTCCTTTTTTTTTTTTTTTAAAAAACTTGTGTTCTGTTTTGGTCGCCTTCAAACACAAAAAGGGAGATGATTTAGCAGCAATATAGAGTTGAACAGTCTTTGTTTTGATGTGGATGAAAGAGAGCTTAGCAGACACAAAAATACTAACCTCTGAATAGAAAGCAGTGCAGTAAATTGAAAGGCTTAAGTAATATTTTGTAAAATTTTTAGGCAAAAAAAACCCAACACCAAACCCACCCATATTTGAGATGTCATTCCATTGTGGTAGTTGAACAACAACAAAGAAGTATAACATAAGTTTCGACTCTGATCTGAGTAAAAGCGCTAGGATCATATTGTTCTTAATAGACCACACTGGAATGTATTTGTATTTATGTACTATTTTTATTTATCACTGTAGGTTTTTCATCAATGACACAGATATTTTAGTGGAAAATAGCATTTTCAAATTATGCTGTTTGTTTTAGAAAAATATATGTAGTTCCTTTATGTTGTATATTAACTTGAAAATACTAATGTAAGGTTCCTAGTGTACACTTGGTTGCATGCACTTAATTTGTAAGTGATCAGAATTGAAAGATGGTCCATACAGACTTTGAATTACCAATTTGGCAATGTAATCCAGAACATTAGTATCTATTGCAGTCTTGAAGTGATGCTTTTTGGATCAAAGTCTCTTGCATACAAAGTTTTAAATATACCCTGCTTTTTAACTCAGAATGTTTTCTTTCAACTGTTGCCATTTTGTAGTTTCACCAGTGATAATTAAAGAATGGGCTGCTTACAAAGGAAAATCTCCACAAACCCCTGAGCTGGTGGAAGCACTTGCATTCAGGGAATGGACCTGTCCTAATCTGAAGAAGCTGTGGCTGGGAAAAGCAGTAGAAGACAAGAACCGAAGAATGAGGGCGTTTTTGGCCTGTATGAGATCAGATACACCAGCAATGCTCAATCCAACTAATGTGCCCACTCATCTTATGGTGCTCTGTTGTGTACTAAGGTCAGTGTTACCTTAAGGTAAAACAGAATGAAGGAAAGGTTTTACTGCGTAATCTCTCTGACGTATTTAACTTTGTATTAAACCATGAGTACAGAAAGTGTTAATTCATATTTGCAGCATCAGTAGGAGAAGGGGTTTGTTTTGTTTTTAGAAACATTGCTGCTGTGTGTCTTAGAAGCATGCTGTATATTCAACGTTTCTTTCTTCAGTCTCTAGAGGACTGAAGGGAGGAGGAAAAAAAGTCTTGTGTTGCAAAGAGGCCACTGTAGCATTTGAATTAGTTTACCTTTACTATAATCTAGGCTTCAACTCACTAAAAAATAACATTTGGGATCTCAAGGGCTGTGTTGGTAAAGTTGTAAAGCAAGAGAGTTCTTCGGAGAACAGCTGCACAGCAGCTTATCAGGATACAAAGTCCACATGAATGATACTCTGTGATGTTTTATATTCCCTGTGTTAGAATTGCTCATCTAGTTGAGACGATGGATAACCAACAGTTGGAAGTATTAATTGCATACTTCAGCTTTTCAAAGAGGAAGTCACAAGGTCCAAAATACTTACCTGTTTAATTTTCAGATTGAAAACTGACGGAGGAATTGAGATCTGCTTACCTTTTTGGGAAGGGGTGATTATTTCAATATGAGTAGCTTACAAATATGGCAGAATTCAAGGTTAGCATGTTGCACATGAAAAATTTTAACCCAGTTTTGAGAGCGATAAATGTAAATTTGCTTTCAGTTCTATTAAACCTCTTCTTGCCTTTTGAACACTAAAACTCCTTTCTTTTTTTCCTTATAGAATAGTAAGTATACAAAAAAATAGTCTGCCCCTATGGAATCTTAAAGCAGAGCTCCTCATTTCATTTGGACAGCATGTTTCTCTCCTGTGACATGTGGCATATATAAATTGTTGTTCATTAAGGCATGATGCGCATAAAATTCACGGGCTAGAGTAATGTGTTATCTGGAAAACATGTTCACAAAGTCCTTTAACCATTAGTCTTTATAAAAAGACCATTAATCTTTATATTATTTTATTTTTAGATGTATCAGAATCCACTTATGTTTCAAATTCTATTTTGGCGGCATGTCCTCCCATTCTTCACTGGAAGCGGGGTTTGCATAACTGATTCCCAGCCAGTAGCTCTTCCATATGAATTTAAACAAAATTAAACTTCAAATCTATTTAGTGTTTTGGCCTTTTTAACTATTCAAGTCTAGACAGCAAAGAAGATTTTTTTGTTGTTCCATTCTGGTGACTGCTGATAACATAAAATACCTCTTGATCTACCTATTAAAGGAAGCTTCTGAATAATTATGGGCTTTCGCTGTAGGTATATGGTACAGTGGCCAGGGGTTCGTATACTTCGTCGCCAGGAACTTGATGCTTTTCTTGCCCAAGCATTGTCTCCAAAGCTCTATGAACCTGATCAGCTTCAGGAACTCAAGGTAATTCTTAACTATAACTTTCATAATTTAAGAGATTTTTTTCCCAGCTGAACCATATTGTTAACTGTAGTGGGTGATGTGTATGTGCCTGTCTCACTAAAAGCCTTGCATAATTACCTATACTTTCCAAAATAATAATCTTAGTATTTTGAAGTGTTGCAAAGATTGATAATCAGTTCTCTTTCACTGCTTAGATAGGTAACTAAAATCTTAAACATACTCTATACTGCAGAACCTTTTCTCACAATTTCTTAAGTAATTGTCTCTTGGAAGTTTGAAACAAATCTGCTTCCACTGAAAAGCTTAAAAAAAAAAAAAAAAAGACTTTCTCCTTGTGTAGCTGTTTTTAAATACTAACCTGGGTATTTTTTCATGATTCAGCATTCAAAATATTTTTGCAGCCAAGCGTAGAAGTGGAGGGAGATTTGCATAATCTTGAATGGAAAAATGCAGGAGAAAAAAAGGGACAAGTTTATTAATACTCACAAAATTGTAGAAATAATTATTTTGAGGATTTTAAAAGTTAAGATCTCAAAGTTTCTATTTTTTTTCTAATACAGTAGTATTATATGAAGTAAATACTGCTGGCTAATTGATAGAGTTGTTTAGTGTGGTATCCTTACTGTAAATACAGAACGGCTATCAATCTGTGCAACATTGTCTTACTCTGGGGGATTTCTCCATTCAACCTTCATATGCTCACAGTGAACTTTCCTCTTGTAGCCTTTGAGCTAAAATATACAAGATTTGGGTTTTGCTTTTACCTTGTTTGCTCTTCAAGATTTGTTCAGAACCTACTATGAAGTTCTCTGAATAAAACAGTAGAATTTAGTCCTCTTTTATTTTTTTTAAGCAAACATTTTTCTGAATGGAAATAATTTTAGATACTTTTTTCTACATAATGTATCTTAAGTCCAATAGTGTATTTGATAACTGGAAGCTATGGGAGGTATTAGGATGTATAGGGCATGCACAACTGGAGGTGATCCATCTTATCTCCTGTCTGCATGGATGATCAACATAGCAAAGGAGATGAGATGCTGATTGCCTCTTCATCATGCAACTTCATGTTGAAGAAGTCCTTTTGGATAGATAGTCTTTAGGTACTGTAGGGCTCAAGTCAGGAAAGTCTACTGACCAGTTCTGCTCCTAGCAGTGCCTGGATAACATGCTGTCCTTAGTTAAATCAGGAAGGAGAAGGTACTTGGTTCCCAAGTTTGTTCATATTCACAGGTACACACTACAGAGGGGCACAGACAAAAGCAGCAATCCTAGCACCGTTTTTCTGAGAAGAAACAGTAATTACAGCTATTAGGCTTTTCTGAGGAATATTTTGCCACTAATACCAGGTCTGCAAGACCATTCTCAAAGCCAGCAAGTGACTATTTCTCTTCTGTGGGTGACGAGCAGAATCTGGGTTGCATTCCTGCATGTAGCACCCTGGCAAGGGCTTCTCAGTCTCAGCCTATAAACCAAATCAATCTGCTTGTGGAAACTCAGCACATAACCATAGAACTCCTAATAAGTGTAAGGGGAAGAAAACAACTGAATCCACTTCAGAATCTATTTGAACTTGTCACACAGCAAGTAGAGAATTCACGTGTTAGCAGTCGTAATGGCAGAGTTAACAGAAAAACAAAATCCTCTTCCCATATACCAAAGAATGAATGTCAAAAGCAAAAATAATAAATAAATAAATAAAATCCAACAGGAAGACGTTTATTTGGCCTTTCCCTCGTTGCCGAAAAAGATCTGAAGAAACACAGGATGAAGACAGCTATAATGAACACCTGATGAGTTCATGCAAGACTGCTTGTTTGCTTCAGCACTTAGGATTGGATTGCTGCTGGCATGGATTATAAGTGCATTAGACTCCTGAGAACAGCATTTTTGAGGAGTACTCATTGTGGCTAATTCCCTAAAAGCAGCCTGAATGTAGATCCTGTCTGTCAGGAGAATCATTTGGGTGTTTGCTGGAACTCCTTTTCCAGGTGTTTACTAGAAGTTCATGCTGGAAGCCCTGTGTGCTTACTGGGTCTTTCAGAACCCCGGAGATTCTGGTCCAAAGATGACAGTTGTCTGCTTTGTATGAAGAGCAGTACTTTGTCTTCTGGGAAGCATGAGGCCAACCTCTGCGAAATGAATGAATTGACAATGAGTTATCCTATACGTTCAGAAGAAATGTACGTAGGTTATCTGAGGTGACAAGCATTGGGCCTGGCCGAGCATTGCGGAGAGCCTTTAAAGTCTCATGAGAACCACGAGAGCATGGTTCAAAACATCTGCCCCAAGCTTTCCTGGGTATCGGTGGAAATTCACATGAGTTTTGTAGGCAAGGCTGGATGCATCAAAGAACAGCAGTGTATCAGCCACTTAGTCTTCAATGTCCATTTTCAAAATAACACAATAAATAAATAACATTTAGGGGTAGAGATTTTGGCAAAGGTATCTATAAGCGTTGTCGAAGTCTTGCCTCTATCTTAAGATTTGATGCAAAGAGGAGGAAACCCCACTGTGAAAATTGCTGGTCTTGGGGATCTAAGAAAGGAATTCCCAGAGAAAATACTTTTTCCAACACGAAAGGCAGAGACAAAGCAAGCAATAAACAGCATACAATATTTTTGTTTAACAGAAATTGTTCTCCAAGTTTTATTTTTAAATCATACATGAAGAGTAATATGGATCATTTCCATAATACATGTTGATTAACTGAAAGATGCAATATTTCATGTAATGTTGTTACTGTCTTCATATGAAGCAGCTGCTTCTCTTTTTGTTGAAGTCAGGCAGAAAGAGCAGCTGAGTTTGAACCCAGCTGCATATCAGCAAAACGATCTGGATAGTCTTTTGGATCTTAAAGGTTGCTTATGCATAAGGAAGGTAATGTAGTTTAATTTTAAAATTTAATACTAAGGTCTTGAAAATGTTCCCAAGAAAGGGGTGATATTTTCAGAAGTATTTTAGAGAACACTCTTAGTGATATTTTCTTATGCCAGAGCTAAAAATGTATTTACTGCCAGCAAATCCTTCATTGCTTCCACCACCAGCTATTATTCACTATTTAATTCTACCTTTGTGTATCTATCCTGCATCCTAAATAAAGCTGGTGTATGCATAAACTTTACTTCATTAATAAGAGATGCATTCTAACAGCAATATCTTGAATCAAGCTAATAGAAAATCCGTTATAAAGGAGTTGGAAGCAAAATGTGATACACGGGAAGAAAAATTGAGTGCTAACATTGAGCTCATTCCTGAAACTTTCTACAAAATACCTCAGAAGCACAAGATTATTTGAAATAATTTTTTAAATTAAATTTTCTACTGCTAATTTCCTCTAAGTGTCTTTAAAGCTTTTCCTTACCATAACATGCTTTAGCATTGTTTGAAAAACTCTGTACTGCATATTTATCAATTATTTTAATGCAGCTCAAGTATGCATCTTACATGTTTTAGACAATACATGCCACAAAGTAAAGATTAGTATTTTATTTAAAACTTACTGACTTCTTGATAATGAATTGAGTTAAAACATTAAAATATATTTAGAAATATTAGAAATAATTTCTTGTGCTTTGTGGTTGAGAAAATAGAGGTTTTTTGTTTTATCTCTCACCTCTGCAGTGGATGGATGGGAACAACAGCCTTCCTGAGTATTGCAGTTTTGTATAGAGAGGTGATAGATTCTGGTGCTTTCTTCTTGTCAAACTGGCAATTACATGTGAAAAGTCTGGACAACCTCTTAAAATCGCTCTGTTTCCAAGAGTTCTGAAAATAATGTAACTATTGGAATAATTTTTAATTACATCTCTTTATTACCTTACTAAATTTACAATTTTTTTTAAACAGATTGAGAATCTCGATCCCCGAGGAATTCAGCTGTCTGCTTTATTTATGAGTGGTGTCGATATGGCGCTTTTTGCAAACGATGCTTGTGGACAGCCAATTCCATGGGAGCACTGCTGTCCGTGGATGTATTTTGATGGAAAATTATTCCAGACCAAGCTCATCAAAGCAAGCCGGGAGAAAGTTCCGCTCATTGACCTCTGTGATGGTCAGGTGTGTAGTTTCAGAAGTGTGACAGAGTATCAAGTGTGCCAGATTTTCAGAAGTGTTAGATGTGGTTGGTTTATCAGTCATTTACTTCACATATCATCTCTACTTTTAAAAGAGAAATATGAGGTGAATGGCTGATAGGTATTTTTCAGCTCTGTCTACTCTCCTATCTGTTATAGATGATTGAGATAGCATTTTGGTAGATTTGGAAACAGTAAACACGTAAATTTTAATTTCATTGTTTTTCTCTCTGTAAACAGAATCTTGAATGCAGTTGTGATGTAATGAACAACTGAGTAGAAAACTCTCCCTGGTCATTTGTTCAAGTACTGTCTTTTTGGGTCAAGCTAGCAAGGCTCACAAGGGACTAAGCTGCAGTGGCTTTACAGTGAAAGAAACTTTGTGATATCTAACTTATTTTACAGACTGTGAAGTCATTCTTATGGTCCTTAAGCTCAAAATCTTTTCACGTTTCTTACGACCGTTTAAAATACAAATGAATTAGTTTTTTGTTGTATCCAAATCATGCAAGGTTATTATCTAACCATAAAAACGGGAAACTGATAAAAATCAACAGTTTACTGAATGACCAAAACTTTTTTTTCTTAATATACTTCTTGGGAGGTATGAAATCTTAACAAAAAAGCTTACCTCCTCTTCTTTCTCACTCAAGGGAAACTGATAATAGATGAAATATTGGTGATGGCTGTGGTCCCTCTCAGGCTCGTTAGCCTCCAGGCATGCTTTGGCCTGTTTACATAGACTTTGTTTTGCAGTCCAGGTTTATGATGATTATTCTGTTTTATTCTGTTTAAAGGGCTGCATTAAGTGTTCAGGTGACTGCAGACAGAAGTTTCTCGGTTCCTTTCTGAAAAATCCTTTTAACTTGTAAACTGTTTTCTGTGTTATCAACTTCTAACCTGTCTCGGTATTTAGACTCCCATCTCTCTGCCGATACATAAAGATTTTCTTGTGAACAGTTCAAGTATCATTGAACTATTAGTAGGTATACAAGACAGATTATTGTAATTTTCTAGCTAGCTTTATGGAAGTTGGTTGCAGTAGTTATCTACTCTTCTATTATTTTGCTTTCTTCTTTGAAGTTGTTGTGTAAATCTAGCTTTATACAATTGAAATCAGAATTTTAACATCTCTTTGTGACCTTTTCTCTATTCATAGGCTGAGCAGGCAGCCAAGGTTGAAAAGATGCGTCAGAGCATCCTAGAAGGATTAAATTTCTCCAGGCAGAACCATCCTCTCCCTTTCCCACCTCCACCTGCCATGCCTTTCTATCCAGCTTCTATGTATCCTCGACACTTTGGGCCAGTCCCACCACCTCAGGGCAGGGGGAGAGGCTTTGCTGGTAAGTGATGGGACAGTGGTGCAAAACATGTTGGTGTGAAGCGTTGCCTTCTCTTTCACATTCCCAAAACTACAAACTGATTTGTCTGTTCAATTTTGTAGGAAAAATACATAAAAGCAAGTGGTTGGCATGTGTTGCCACGTGCCAATCACTGTATTTTGTTGTTACTTTTATTAGCCATAGCCTAGCAATATGGAATGTGTTGTATTGCTGCGTATTTCCATCAGGATTTTTAGTAACTGTGCCAGATCAAAATATTTTTACTGCTGTTGTATGAAATAGACAAAAGAGAAATGAATCCACACTGGATGATATGAAAAGGCTCTTATTTGCACTGTACATTGCTTCAAAATGTTTATATTTATAAATATTAAAAATGCCTAAATTAATGGACACAGTTTAACTGCCAGGGTTGAAGACAACCTTTCCTCCCTCCCACCCCTCTGGATTGTGCTACGGTTATTTAACCATTGGCACCTTTGAGTTTGCATACCGATACAACCATTCCAGGCTGTTTCTAGAATTATTCCCTTTCTCAAATCTCTCCGGTACCAAGACCCGTGGGTATATTGATACCGGACATTGGGAGTAAGATGCTCTTGGGGTGCCACAACTGTAGCCGTTGGAGCTCAGTGCCGAAAAATTGTTGCAAGCCTTTACAGTGCTCATTATGCCATAGAAGTCGGGATGCCCGTTCCAAACCCAGGTTCAAGGCCTGCTATTTGGATAGGAGACCCCGTGCTCGCTCAGGCGGCAGGACAGCCTTGGCCAGGGCTTCTCAGCGGCGGTGGCTTGCTCCCATGCAGCGTTGTCTGCAGGAGCCCAGCCTGCAGGAGCACGGCCCTCCCTGCTGACTCGGGAAGGGTGGAAGGAGGCAGCAGCGTCTCTGCGAGGGGCCTTCCCGGATGCCTGGCCCCCTCACAGCTTTTCCCCTGTCTTTCTTTACCCTGGGTCTAACAGGAGTCTATGGCTTCGGAGGCCCTTATGGGGAAACAGTAGCCACAGGCGCTTACCGGGCCTTCCGGGTGGCGGCAGCGGCAGGACACTCCGGAGCCTTCTCTGGCAATGACAGCAACAGGACTAGCAAGTTTCAGGGCGGTAATTATACCCAAACCCCTTTTCTTAGAGCTTCTGGCAACAGCTTCCTTCACTTTATGGTTTGGTCTGAGGCTTTCCTACTGACTGCCGGTCTCCCTTTCTCCCTAACTGTCTGAGCTCTCCCTCTCTAGAGCCTGCCCAGGCTGCTGTCCTCTCTGCTCTCCCCAGGTCCCTGCCACAAGCCCCCTCAGCGCCAGCCCCTCTCATGCCTAGAACCCCCCCTCCAAACACAGGGTAGCCGTAAAACCTAACGGGACGGTCTGTCTCCTGTGCTTCGAGGTGCAAGGGTGGAATCTGCCACCAGCTGAACTTTGCTTGACTGTATTAACAGTTATTTGTTTTAAATATGGGGGCAGTCGAGATTTTTGCAAAAGCAACCCAACGTAGAAATGACTGACTGCGGTGTTACTGCTAACCCATTCTCTGCTGTCATCAGTGTCAGTGTGGACACAGGCGTGAGATTTACTTACCTACCTGTGTGCCATTGCTTGTCTCCTGTACGAGGTGGGACAGTAGAAACCTGTTAATTCCAATCCCCTGTTCAGGGTAAAATTTTTCCATATATTTAGCTGTTCTTTCTGGCCTCTGAGCTTTTATCCTAAGAGCAAACATTCCTCTAATGCTTCGTTGTGTGTATAACTTTGCCCCTGTAAACAATGTGCATTTGAAGCTGAAAGACTTGTACAGGAAAGTATGAACCTTTTTGAATTTAATCAGTAGTTTAGTTCCTAGTGTATTAATGTTTGAAGACTAATTGCGGCTGCATAAATGCTGTGTTTTGTAACCTTTTCAGTGCTGATGGTCTTACCAGTAACATCTGGCTCAGTTGCACTTACCTAGATTTCTTGAAATGTGTTATGCCCCAGAGTTGATTTGAGGGCAAAACACAGGTGTAAAGATACGAGCAACTTGAATAGAAGATACATTTGTATTTTAGACAATTGCAATTTTAGCTGCTTTCTTGGTAGGGAAAGGATAAACCTACCTTTTACACCCAGATCAGTTTAAATATTGTATTTTTATAACAACTTAGTGTCGTTATGCAGATAATTCTGCATAACATTCAACAGATAATTCTGCCTAGTGAGTCGTTTATAGCAATTATAATTTGTGTGTCTTATGCTGGTATTTGGTGTTCACTAAAAAGTGATTTTAAACCTGCAAAAATTACTTCTTTATTAGGAATGCAGGAAAAAAAATAATCTTCAGATAGTTTGTAAAATTTCACTTCAGTTTCTTAATGCTTATCTAAAGTATATTTTCAATTACTGAAACTGAAGTACTTGTGTAAGATCATTTTTCTTTTCAGAATTCATATCTATTTTTAAAAAAGGGGGGGAAAGAAAGACTCTTGGATTTATAATACTTCTGAAAGACCGCAAAATGAGAAATAATCTCCCAGTATCAAAAAAGGAAACTGTATATGTGATAAAATCTGGGCAAACCAGTTTTCCATTCATTTGTAACTTTAATGTTATGATTGTGAAGATCAAGGTTTGGTTTTGCTTTTATGTGCAGGAGTCCAACCTATTCCTTCTCAGGGAGGGAAACTTGAAATTGCCGGCACTGTAGTCGGCCATTGGGCTGGAAGCAGACGTGGACGAGGGGGTAGAGGGCCATTTCCTCTGCAGGTTGTTTCTGTGGGAGGACCAGCAAGAGGGTAAGTGCAATCTTGTGGAACATACTTTTCATATGTATTTTAATGATTGGGGAAAAAAGCAAAACAGGGAAAAGTTAGAAATTGCATACAACAGATTTTAGGACACATTAGGTAAATTATACCTACTGATTATTCAAGAAAAGCATTTACATTCATTTTAAGATGTTTTTAATCAGTTGTTCAGATGAGCATAAGCATTTTTATGTGCAACTAAAATTCATACTCTCAATCTGATAGAGATACACACACACACTGGATTGTTTTGCATGAAGAAATGACTTGGGGGCTTTCTCTTACATGAAATCAATAAATACATTATACCCGATCAAAACTATCACAGCACTCAATTACTTTCTTTGTCATAATAGAACATTTATTTAAAAGTATGGTAAAATTTTTAACAACTCCATTATGTAATTCTTCTGTGAAGCAGAAAACACCTGAAGGATGTTTCTAGGTTTAATAGTTCTCTGCTACAGTCATGATGGGAGATGTGCTTAAAAGAATATTAATTTCTTCAGCTCTTCCACTTCATTTCACTACAGCTGAAATTACAGGTGCACAACATTTCTGAAAAAGAGATACTTCGTTACAAAAGTACTTAGTCCTTTTAAGATTATATTTTTTCCATAGGCTTAATTGTTCTGTCCCTTACAGAACTGTCTTATCTTTAATTAAGATTGTATCTATTATAGGAGACAATCCCAAGGTAATGTGATATATATATTATGTCTGTCTTTAACTATATTAAAGGTATGGAGTAAAGTAGGTGTGTTTATGCCATCCTGAGCTAGGAAGCAGCCGTCTGAAAGCATAAGTCTGAACTGCATGAATTCCTCTCTATCCATTAATTTAATCAAATGTGCACTATAAAGCATAGTGCTAAAGTCAGCAAGAGCTGTTGGAATGCCTGTCTTGTTGGACTGAGTGAGGAAACAGTTGGATCTGAAGCCCTGGGAGAATGGGAGCAGGGGGAGAAGCAAAGAGGCTGCCAGTGTGGGGACAGGGAGAGGTAAGAACAGCAGAAACAAAGATTAAAAAGTTCAGCAGAAGAAAACAGCACTGGTGGAAGAGCAGAGCTGACACTTTGAGGGGACCAAATTTAGGTAGGAACATTTTATTCTCTAGAATGAGATTCAGTTGCCAACACATAAGCATCTAGTGTTGTTTTAGATGCTTCAGACAACTGTCAGCTAATTGTGCAGGCTAGTGGGGTCTGTGGGACACCTGTGCTCTTCCAGAATAGCAGCTGGAGACCAGGGGAGTAAGCTAAGGTGTGCGATGAGGCACTAGGCTCCTTACTCCTTACTTTTAACCTTACTCCTCAGTTTCAGTGGATGAAATAACATTTTTCACCATTTAATTGAGGTTAGTGTGTGGTCTTAAGTTCTGTTTTTCATGAGGATCCATGAACAGAAGAATCTGGCTTACTACAGAGCTTGTTACTTTTCTTCAGTTAAATGCACTGACTGCAGTACTGTTTGCAGAAAGCTTCCGGGTGATTTATATTGTCATACACAAAGACTGCTGTCTGAGGCACCCTGAGTGATGATCTGGAGACACCTTCAGGCTCAGATCTGGCTTACATTTACACATACCATTGACTACCTTGACAGGATAGGAGTTCCTCCATTTTCTGAAGAAGCAAATACATGAATTTATGCAAAACATCAGTAGCCAGGAACTAACACTGGCAAGTCCTAAATTGAGAACCCTCCTTAGCTGGGAAGTGGTCAAATCACTGAAAGGGTGTTATTGGTCCTGTAAGTACCTTTACAACAGAGAAATGCTAATCTCCAATAATAGCTTTTGCATTAGGGGATAAAATATCTGTACATTTTCATTGTGGGAGGTACTATCTTTGGGCAGTTAGGTTTGGGTGCAAGTTGTCACCTCAAAACAACAGGAAAACTGTCAATGCCAGATCTTCCTCTCTCCATCAGATCACAAATGATGTTAAATTCTTTACCTGTAGAGTTAACAGAATTGGTCAAAGAGGGCAAAACTACTGCAGGCAGCTTATCTGCTTGTTGTGTCAGTTGGTACTAAAAATAAAACCTAGTAGGAAAACACAGTAATACTAGTGTTCTGTCTAAAGACAGGCATTTTAAAGATTGGGGTCCTTGTTGGCAAATGCTGTTTCTTACTAAAGAAGACTCCTAGGAAGCTGCACAGTACATTGTCTGCAATTTATCACCTAGTCCTGCACACTTCTATTTCATTTTTTTTATCTGTTACAGCAGAGGGGATCATGTCAGGCTTGTTTACACCATTGTCTCGTGTCTTTGTGCAACGCCGAACTTGGATGTTGTTCTTATTGTGTAAAATTATACTACCTGCTTTTTATTGGCTTTGATCCCTCAATAGATTTCGTGTGATTTTTCTGAGTAGGAAGAATCTTACTCGGGTACACTTTGACCTTGTAAAAAAATAGCAAATGGGATAGGTAAGCCCTGTTGAAATCTTTGGAAAGAATGCAGTGATAGTTACTCAAATATAAAACACAACTCTTTGCTGTTGCTTTTAAATCCCAGTATTTAATTTCTTATTGCTCAGTGTGGGAATTTGCAGTGTGTGTGAAAGGACTTGCATGGCACAGATCAGTGTTTCTCCACTGAGTCAGTTCAGCATAACTCAGTTTTTACAGCAGAGGAAGCAGGAGCACTACAGAAAAGCTTACCTCCTCTTCAGGTGGTTTTTTGTACAGCTCACAGAGACCTTGCTGGCATGTGGGAATTGTCAGGTATATGGAATATGAGATTCAGTTAAATGGCAGCTGTCATTTGTTGCCAGAATGGCAAACTGGGCAATTGCAGCCCATGCAGCTTAGAAACTGGGCTGGATGCAGGCCTGGACCTAAGCAGCACTTGGCTGCTCTGTGCCAGCTGTAGAGGGGTCAGTCTTCATGCTGGGACCTCCTGGTATTGGGGCAGTGGATTTGGAGGAAAAGTAGAGCAGTCACGTATTTCTAGTAGAGAAAACAAAAAGAATTCTTAGGTGAGAAGTAGTCCTTGACATAATGATTAGGAATTTGAGTTTCTGCAGTTGGTGGCATTAAAATAGTTTTAGCTGAGTGAAAGTTTGTTTTGATCTGATCTAATCTTTATCGAATCAAATCAAAAAACCACCACCTGATGTGTCCTAGTTGGAAGCCTCCATTTGAAAGCATCCAAATTTGATAAATTGCTACACATCAGATATTGCTGAAGCCTCCTTTTTTCCCTCAGGTTCTTAGATGATTTTGTATTCTCCCATCAAAACTGAAGCAATTTTGTATTTTGCCTTCCTTTCCTTTATCTGATTTTGTCTGTCTAGCATGTTTATACATGGGAAGTGTTATTAAATGGGAGAAATGGCCTTATAAATGGTTCAAATTGCTTGCATAATTTTTTAAGGTGAAAGTATTTTGAGTTCTGTTTTTAAAGCACTGTAAGGATAATTTGACACTTTGAAAATGTTTCTGCAAAGCTTGAAAGTACTCATTTATTGTTTCTCTAGAAGTGAAATACAGATATAGTCATTTTATTGCTACGAAAACAAAAGGTTTGTTATGTTTCATACACTTGCAAGCAGTAGAACCCTGTAATTCTGAATTAGTTAGTCATACTGCTTCTTTAAAGAAACGTAAATTTTAGTCACTAGACAGTAAAGGTAGGAAAAAATCTTCCAGCAAAATAAAATTTAAAGCAGTTTTAAACAAAGCTGATAAGTATTTTTCTTTCTTCCTTTTCCTCAAAACTTACAGGCGTCCTAGAGGAGTTATTTCCACTCCAGTGATAAGAACTTTTGGAAGAGGCGGAAGGTACTATGGGAGAGGTTATAAAAGCCAGGGAGCAATTCAGGTAATAAAGCCATGTGCCTGACTTCAGAACACTCTAGTTTACAGACTAGTATGGTATGGACTTCCAGACCAGCTAACACTGACAAGCACAACTTTAAAAGATAAGTGCTTCTTACAATGATCTTTCCTATGTGTTGAAGCTGTAAGCTGCACAGCCACTGGTGGATGACAGGCTAGTGTTGCATCGCAATTTTAAGCAAACTTTGGTTATAAAGACAGACGTGGAAAAATGTATTTTGATGTGCAGGCTGTGCCTACACAGCTCTAACCAGCTGTGGGAGCAGAAGAAAAATTAGGAAAATGGGAGAAATACAAAGCTGAAACAAATTAGCTGTTCTGTTCCTGCCCCCACTCTTTCCCAGTTTCTTTTCTGGGACCACGGTCCGACCTCATGAAGAAAAATTAGCAGTATAAGGATCTTTGCTGCTGCATGGCTCCAAATGTAAGAACTTACTCTAAACTTCTAGGAAGTAACAGACCAGTCTTCACCCCCACGAGCACACAGTTTCATTTTTGGTGACAACGTGTGAAGCGTCTGTGGATCATGGCTTTTGTCTTTTCCATGGATCCTTTAAATATAGCTGAAGCAAACTGCTGTTTCATATTAAATGCCAATTGCTTTGGAGTTATGTTTTCCTCCCTTTTCCATTGTTCTTGCTGCTATGCAGTTTTGAATGTTGATGCAAGTCCCAGTGGTAATGGATGAGTGGGTAGAAAATAGGTGGAAAGCTTTCACAATAAATACATCATATGGATGTGCAATTTGTCATGGAGACATTAGTATGTAAGAGTAGGGGGGTGTTTGCAGGTATCAGACAGTAAGAGAAGGAATGTTCTCCAGTGGATAATGAAGCAACTATTAACTTCCAGTAAAGCTTGCGGTTTTCTAGGTGTAAAAATTCAAATACTTCTCTTTCTCGTTAAATTTCTGTGTCCGCAGATGATATATGTCTACAAATCTACCTATGTATTTGAAGCTTTAAATCTTTTACTTTAAATAGAAGAGAAACCACTATGTTAATTATATAGTGTCTAATTTCCAAGTACCTTAACCTATGAAATAAAGGAAGCCCTGAAAAGGAGCTCCCAAATATTCCGGGTTTACTACAGGTTTACATCTGTAAATGTAGTTCAGATAGCACCTGTAGGTGGATGGTAGATAGTCTTGGCAGACAGTCAGCAAGTTTGGGTATTCACATTTTATTGGTTATATGTAATTTGGGTGGTAAATACTTGCGATCACAAGGATTTGGGTCTAAAATTGTGCCTGTGATAGGGAGAAGAAACATAAATGACATTTTCTATTGACTGGTCCCGAGTTCATTGGATTTTACGGTCATGAAGTCACTATACCCTAGTATATATTCCTTTTACAGGAAAAGAGAAAAGGTGAATTAAAATGCATGTGACGGGGCGAACTTGGAAAACTTAATGCATAACAAGCAGATTTTGATACCCAGTTAAGACTAACTGGCAACAGTGTACTTCCCTGTCTTACAAACCTGGGCAGTTAAGGAAAGAGTGCCCATTCAGGGCCAGATTCAGATATGGGTATTTACACCAAGTAAGATCTTCCCTGCAGTGGCTTTATTGATAGTCATTATGAGACAATATGAAGAAAGGTTGGAGAACCTGACTGAAATAAGCAATTTGCATTTATTAAACATAGAAGACATGCCTATTTGTTCACAAGATGAGACCTTTCACTCTTGATCTGGAAAGAAACAAAAGCATGTGTTTAATCTAAAACTTAACACTTAGTAAAGCCTGTAAAGAAGTACATTTACACACACGTGCTAAATATTCTTTGTCCTCATATGCCAGTCATATACCTATGCAATGTTACTGCAGATTTTTTTATGGTTTTCTGAATAAGTTTTGTGATACTGATGCTAGAGAACAAGAGTTCTTACTCAACTGCAAAATCTTTCAGCGATTCAGAAAAGTCTAACCACACTGTTTCTAGTATGTAAAAATTCAGATTATTACACTATGAAACTGTTTGCTATTGTTTGAAGTGTATAAGATGTCCGTATCTTAAGTCATTTCTCAGTACTTGACTTTGTTAACAGCATGATAGAAAAGTACATTGCTTCTTAGCAACCCAACCTACTTACTTTGTTTTGTTGTTTAAAGCCTATTATGTTTCTGGAACACTAAGATTCATTGTTGCAGATACTTAAAAACTGAATATACATTCTAATGCTGCATAAATCTGGTTTTTATTGCTATACTCAGTCTTGTAAGATTCTACTATATGCTTTTCGTATGAAGTCACTTGCCTAATCTCAGAAGCATATAGACTAGTATAGATAATACTGCATGGTACTTTTGCACTTCTTTAAAAATTGTCTGAAAAAAGTTTTGGTTTGTATTTGAATAACATGTAATCATATCATTAAATTGTAATGTATATGAACCAAGAAGCAGAGTTAAGCTGTATATTGATTCTCAGTTTTGGTGTTTCCAGATGTTTATGTAGCTCTTACATTGTGAAATAACTGAAGCATCAAAGTTAGAAAGGGCATTTTACCACAAGAACATCAGAAGGCATGGCTAGAAGGCACTCAGAAATACTGAAAGTTCTTTCTCATCTGTGCTGTGCTGTTTATTTTGTATGCCACTTCTTATTTCAGCAGTACATAATACTCGGTATTCGCTTGTGATACTTCTGCACACTGCATGCTGCCTATTATAGTGTTATTGTAACAGATTGTAAATATATAGCAGTGGTTCTTCAGTAATTTTCTTCTTTTTTTAAAAAATAGGGCAAACCTCCTTATGCTGCTTCAGCAGAAGAAGTAGCCAAAGAACTTAAGTCAAAATCAGAGGAATCTAAATCCTCAATTGTGTCTTCAGATGGATCCCTGGCTGAAAATGGAGTTGTGAATGAGGAAAAACCAGCTTCCCAGATGAATGGGAATACAGGAGACATCAGGGCTTCCAATCAGTCTGAAAGTGCCTTGAGTAATGACTCTAAAATGTGCAATACAAATCCTCACTTAAATGCACTAAATGCAGACAGTGTTTGCCATAAAGATGATACTCTTGAGGCCACTGTCTTAAAAAAAGAAGAGTAAACTTATTTTTTATAGAGGGTGAAGGATGTTGGGAAGGGTCAGGATTAGGAATATCTGGAAAGAAAGAGAGCCTACAGTTACGTACATTTTTTCCTTTCCGTAAGAGAAAAATGAGGACTTTGGAAATTCGGATCCCTCTTTGATGTCAGAGATTTAAACAACACATTTTTAGTTTTAACCAGTTGTAGTCAAAATGCTACAATAAAACAAAAAAGAAAGAGAATGAAGAGCATTTGACTCCCGCACTTAAAATGAAGTATACATAAAGTTTAAACTGGTTATGACAAAAGCTTGTAGTTTTGTTTTTTGAAATATAAAGAAAACAAATTTTGGCAGTCTTTAAGTATATATAGCTTAAAATATAATTTTTAGTACTTGGCACCATATGTATGCCATTATATTTGATTTTGCATTACTGTGTCACAATAAAGCTTTCTTTAAGGCTTTGATTTCATGATTATGGGGGGAAAAAGGCACAACCACAGTTTTTTCTTTCTTAAATTTCATCACCGTTGATGTGGTTCTTTTGTGTTAAAATGTGCAAACTATCGAAACTAAAAATTATAGAGTAATATTGCAGTTCTGCTGATTTTTAAATATACATCATACATACTTTACAAGCAAGTTAAATGGAGATAAACTTGAAATCATAGAAGATGCAAATGACCTTTCAAAATAAACACAATGTGTTCTGAAACTTTTTGTGACTAATACCATGCATCCGTGATCAATGAACTATGTGGTTTTGAATCAGACGTAGACCATTAGTACTACTATTTGAGCTAAACTTCTGCATGGTTCATAATTTTTAAAGTGTGTAGTTAATATTATGCATGTTATTGTCCTCTTTCTTCCATTCTTACAAGTACTGTGCCCATTTGCAAAACAAAAAGCTAATAATCAGTAATAGTCCTATAAAAGATGTTAACTATGTTTAGTCATTGACTGATCTTGCTCTAACCTTAAAATTTTGTGATTATTGACCTCTGTTGCATTTATTCTAAAACTTAAAAAAAAAAATTATCTAGCCGTTTTGAATATCAACGTTACCCTGGTGTACTCATTGCTGTATGCATTATTGTTCTCTGTTGCTGTTTTATGCCTTCATATTAGCAAATATGAAATTCTGTGAAAAACAAAAAAAAAAGCTTTGATCTTCAAAAAAAAAAGTACCCCCCTTCTGTAGCAGGAAACAAATGGCTTGTTCTTGAGAACTTTCCCATCAAGAATTTAGTATAAGCAAATATACCTGTATCATTTTGATGTTTTTGTTAGTGTTTCCAAACTTAATGTACTTCAAAATCAGAATCATTTCTTTATATTCGTTTTCATATAATTCTCCTGATGCTCTTCATCACACATTAGTGATCAGAAATGAGGTGTAATTCCCCATTCCCTGCCCGCAAGAGCTAAGTAGGTATCTTAATGTAAGTTGAAGGGAGTTCTGCCCCAACTCATGGATTGTGCAAGAATGAACTACTGTTGGGTTTGATTGGTTGTAGATGGATTGTGGTGTGGTGTATTTGAAGGCTATTGAATGCAACTTACAGTGCTTAATAAAAATCTTTATTCTTTTAGTATAAAATACTGTATGCCTTTTTTGTCAAATATTTTTTTAATTAACGTGTTGTAAATAAAAGTTTTCCTATGCCCAAATAAAGTGATTGAGTTAGCAGACTACGCGATGTCCTCCCAAAAGACGGAGAAGGAAAACACAGCCTTTACACGCTGCCGCTGTTGGGTGATATCGCACTCGATCGGAGTAATGCTTTGTCCTTTGTATTTTATGCAGCTACTTCAGATGTCCACGTTTAAATGCGAGATGGCTAATAAGATGCAAATAGGACAGAAATAACAGGGGCAGTTGTTTAAAGAAGAAGACGACCAACCCCGGGTGCTCGCAGGGCTTGAAATGCAAGGTGATCGGCACTGCCTGTATCTCAGCTCCTCGTAGCTGAGAATAAATTATTCCATTATGCAGGAGTTCTCTACATCATGGATCATACTGACATACATGAGGAGTTATAAATGTATACCTTGGTTGATAGCAGGAGAGCTTTTTTGTCTGGGCACGCCCTTATTGTCTGCTGTCTCTATCTGAATGTTCATCTGTTTACTGCCTGACACACATTGTTAAAAACAGGCTTGCCCTGAGTGTTTCTGATCTTGTGTTGTGTCTACATGAGTGGTGGTAACAGCTCTGTGCTTGGGGTGTAGATGCAGTTTATAGCGGCACAGCTGTGTTTTGTGCAAATGACGGCAGTCGGCCTTCCTCTCTCCTCCTGAAGTCCAACAAGCTGGAGAGGAGCGGTTGTGCTGGTGTCACGGCAGCTGTCAGGGGATCCTGCAGCTGAACTCGGGCGGGATCGTGTCCCTTCCCACCCTGCAGTGACGCAGTGCTGCTCGCCCCACGTTAGAGCTTGTCTGTTATGGAAATACTGTCCAACCTCTTGCTCTGGTGAAGGTTCAAGGCACCAACTGCCGTCTTTCCCAGCATAACCTGGTCACTGGCATCGAATAAACAATATCAACAAAAATAAACGTGTATGAGAGATTTCACCAGTGTGCCACCTACTGCAAGTGTAATGACTTTACTCCTTTCCTCAATGTAACTGTGCAGGCAGAGTTTCTTCATGGGCAGCCATAGTGTGACAAGCTATCCGCACAAGTGTGACTAAAATTAGGATGTGGAAGTACAGAAAATTAACTAGTCCACTGGCCCAAAGGTGAGGTGCTGCATTTACTTTTTCCAGAAATTATGGTGAAAAACTTTGGCTTGTGTGACTTACGTCTGCTTGACCCGGAGCACTTATTTTCTTTGTGGCCCATTTAAACCCCTGCCATTGCCCCGGCGAGGCTGAAAGCTGCTCCTTGGGCAGAAACTACGCTCGGGCAGGAGGACGAGCCTTCGGCTGTTGGCAGATGCTAGTGGAAGTAGTGGCAGGGACGTCTTACAGGTACCAGAGCTCCCTGGTTCCCAGTCAGGGAACTTCAGTGTCAAGCCCAGAACCAGTGCTGGGTTTATTTTTTGCCCCCTGCAATGGGTTCGTGCAGTTCAGCAACTGAGGGTGCGGGAGGTGCAGCGGTGGGTGCTCAGGGGCTGGGCAGGGACTGGTGGGCTGGGGGGAACTGGGTGATACTCTGTGAATCTGCATCCCTCAGAGGCAAGTGTGGGGCTACCTGTCTTCCTTCCTGTCCTGAGTAGCTTCCTGCAGGAAATAAGATGCATTTCAAGTTCATTTAGTCTCTTCCAAAGACTTAAGCTGACTCTGTAATGGGTGATCCTGCGGAAGGACCAGGTGTTGCCTGGGCTTGCTCCTGAACGCCTTGCACACGTGAGTTTATACATCAGGAATTACGTTCTGCTATGCACTCTGTTACATGGACCTTTTTAATGTGCTAATTAAAGTAATTAACAATCTATTGCCTACGTGTAGACAGGTTGCCTGCCTCTCCTGTAAGAATACTGCGGACTGCTGTTGGACAGCAGCTCAGCCCGGCGTGTGGAGGTGTTGATGCTGCTGACTCGCACTTTCCTGGTGGTCCCCTCTAGCTGCGTCCATCTCCGCTGCCAGTCCACGCTGGGATCGGGAAGCGCCGGGGCTGCGGCGTGTCTGCTGTAGGTGGGGAATGGGGTGTTCAGCTTTTTGTGCGTTGCCTGGAGGTTTCCTGTTAGTGAGCCAGAAGAAGCTCTCCGGCACCGAGGGTGGAGGCTGAAGCCAGCTCCTTGCCGTGCAGCAGGTCTTTGCATCTAAGCAAGTGTCTGGAAGCGGTGCCCAAGGGTGGAGGGGCTTGTTATATATAAAGGCCAAAGGTCTCTATGAGAAGTGAGCCTTTTTATTTATAAAGTGAAAACTGATACGAATAAAGATGATGGCTCTTGGACCTCTTGGCATGGAATAGAATAGAATGGAATGCACTAGAATAGAATAGACTATTTCAGTTGGAAGGGACCTACAACGATCATTTAGTCCAACTGCCTGACCACTTTTTGGCTGACCAAAAATTAAATTATTAAGGGTGTTGTTCAAATGCCTCTTAGATACTGACAGGCTTGGGGCATCGACCACCTCTCCAGGAAGCCTGTTCCAGGGTTTGACCACCTTCTCGGTAAAGAAATGCTTCCTGTGTGACCAATATCTCATTATCCATCTCCAAGACAAGAGTTAAACTGGGAGAATCGGCCGTTTGGGAGGGGGTGTGTGGTCGCCATCCATCCCAGGCCAATGGGCTTGGCTGTCAGCTGAGGGCAGAGCCCTGCTCACTGCTCGCTTGCAAGCAACAAGCAACTAAAACAACTATGCTCCTCCCTGGGCTAGCCTCGCTAATTGTTTAGCTGTGTTGTTAAGGACCAATAATGATCTGTGGGTGCCACAGTCAATCACTTTTAGTGCATTTTTTACATCCAGTCTTCAGCGAGTCCTTAAACGCAGGCAGGTGAGTAGTTACTGACAGTGGAGACGATCCAGAGGCCGGGGGTTGTCCGTGCAGGGGGAGCCCAGCGCAGGCACCCCAGAGCGTTTTTCATTCTCGGCTCTTGCACGTTAAGTGCGGCGTTGGCGTTACGGACAGAGGAAAATGAGATTTAAGCGATCTGCTAGACGGCGAGTGGCCAAAGAGCCCCCTCCCGTCGCCGGGGATGGCGAGCAGCACGGGTGAGGAAGCGCTGCGACCATTTTATTTCCTGTGCTCACGGTTGTGCTATTTAAGGCAGCGGTTGCGTCGCTGGATGGCTGCGTCATGGGCCGGGGGGGCGTAAGCCTGCCTGAGAGGGCAGCAGCCGCTGCGCTACATTCCCGATCCTCGTCAAAAAGTCTTGAAGGGGTGAGTTTTTCGGAGTTGCGGAAAGCCCTGCGACCAGGAGGGTCCTTGCAGCAGCAGGCAGCTCCAGGGGCTGTTCCTACGCCGTCAGTAAAAGGTTCTGATGAACCCTCCGTGAGCAGGGTCCCTCACACCAGCGTGCAGGATGGAGCCCCAGCGCCCGGTCGCAGCGATGACAGGGAATGGGATAGTGCGGCCACCGCTCCTGTGCTGTGAAGAGATGAAAAGCGAGAGCGTGGGCACGTTTTTCAATGCACTCAGTGCTTAAGAGCGTAATTATCCAGACCTGAGGCAGATTACAGCTCCCTCAGTGAAAGTCTGTATAATCCTTTTTATTGTGCCAAAAGCCCATAAAAGAACCAAAGCTGAGTCCGGTCACGCGTAACCGCGGGGTAAGAGCGCGCCGGCGGGTGCGCGGCCCTGGGGCGAGGTGAGATCTCCGGCGTCCGCTCCCCTCTCCTGGGGAAGCCCAGTCCCCGCCGGGTACCGCTGTTCCCGGGGAGCTGGCAGGGCCGCGCCGTGGGTTGGAGTAGGACGGCTCTCAATGTCCCACTGGTGTCCCCTGTCCCCAAGACATCCAACCCACCTGTGGGCGAATGCCTTAAGAGCAGCAGCTCTCCCGGGGGCGGTGTGAAGGGCCAGGGCCGTGCCAGCCGCGGGGAGGCACCCCCACGGCCACCTGAACCCTCAGGGTGAGTTTTGCAGGATTTAGTAGCCCCCATCTCTAACTGTGACTACTACAAATTAATAAAAAGAAAGGTAGTTTTGCACTAATCATTACCTGAAAGACTGTTGTTTAAATGTGCTAGATAACTTCAACGAACCCAGTGGCAGTATCCACGCAGAGCAAGTGTGTAATTCCGTCCTGCCTGTGGTTACAGCAGGTTTTGCTCTGCTCCCCTCTGGGCACTGCCCCAAGCCCGGGGGGTTTCTTTGTGACCCGTTTTTCCTCCTTATCTGATGCGTTATGGGGGCAAGACTCTCCATTTCTCTGGGCCAGTGTGGGTGCGTGTGGCTGCTCCTGCAATCGCGCCCTCCAGACCTGGAGGGGCTGCGGGTCTCTCCCCCAGCGCTCGGCTGCTGCCTGATCCTCACTTGTGCCTCGTCCTAGACCTTGACCTGAACCACAAGCCCATGCTCTGCTCAACCTGCCACGTCCTGGTCCAGCGCCCCACAGCAGGAGGGGATGCGGCGGCAGGAGGGGATGCGGCGGCAGCAGCGCGTGGAGGACGCAGCATGTGTCAGCGCGGCCCAGCTGAGGGCAAACCCATGGCCCCTGCATCAGCCCAGAGGCCCCGTCCTGAGTTTTGCCCTGAGACACCTCTCCTTGGACCAGGCAGAGGAGAGCAAGCAGCTCCAGAGCCCTTCTCCGGGGGCTTTGCTTTCTGATGGCAAAGCAGCAGGTAAGAGCAAATATTGGGTTTTTTTCATTTAATACCCAAGTAAAGGATGCTAATGCGATGGGGAATTCAGGGGTTTGGGCAGGAAGAGGTGTATTTCTGAAAGTACTATGGGATTGTAATCTGTCCTACGTTTGGCATTTAGGTCTGGGGGCTTGTCGGTCAGTATATTTTGTGAGATACGTGACTGAAGGTGTGCCCTGGTTTCTGGTTGAAATTGCAACTGTTCATTCATGACTATGCGAACTAATACAGCAATTTAAAATTAAAACACAAGTGAAGGATGAAAACAAAAATATTAAGTAAAAGTTGGGTAAGGTCCTACAGAAATCAGGAACGTCATGAAGTACTGACAACGTTCAGCTTAATTCATAGTGCTCCTGTTACAGTATTTGTAATAAAACATAGCATTTAGTGACCTGCTATCAGATGTAT